GTTATATAAGATGTTATATATACTGGTACCCCGGCGGATACCTCTACCGAGGGTAAAGATAATTAATTGTATTCATAAAATATATTTTAAATTCAATATTAATATAAAAGCTATTAATGAAAGAGCTAATATCATTAATAATTTATTGTTTTCCAAATCTTATAAGAAATTTAATATCCTTCTTATATTTTATATTATATATGTAAATATATTTACTAAGGGAATTCATATAGAGACATGCAGAATTAATACAGAGGCATTCATTCATCTTACAGCGGCATGGAAGTATGCTACTATAATTAGCCTAAAAGTTTATTATCATTATATCCAGATTCTACCGCTCGTCTCTAAAGTACTCTTTCTATTTAAAATTTCCTCTATATTAGCCTTTCTTAAAACTATCTTGGTCGTTACGCTTAATATCAATATATAATGCCTCTACTATCTAAACCATAGCGCAATCTACGCCGCCGAGCGGCAGACCGCAGCCCTAGCGGTGTAATACATCCTCCTAAACGCAAACATATCGATATATTATCGTCCCCTTCTTCAGTTAGCAGCCATACTAGTGCTTATTAATTCTTTAGAGTTAGCGATCCCTAAGTATATAGCGACCTGATCAATGACTTATTACCCGACCTATTATAAGAAACACGACCACTATCCTATTATCAACCCTATTACCCTAGAATCGAACCAAGACTCTACCTTAGCCGCCATTTCCCTAATAGAACCGACTCCCCCCAACCTACTACTTTACCCCGACTCTCGCCTACCCGCAACGGCCCCTATCCTAATAACGAGCACTTTAAGTCTACGCTTTACCTTACGCACCGTTTTCTGAGGGGAATTTAAAGTACCTAACATACTACTCTCCCTTATATATCGCCAGATTGTAGCCTCTTGTCCTCTAATAAAGGATACTAAGACCCTTAGTAGCCTACTATAGAGCATTTTAATAATGCTCTTAAGCTTATTTAATAGGTTATTAAGACTAATAAAAGATTAATAACCGCCCTCCTCTAATAAGACAAGCAAAGCCACTATTAGTAGGAGACGTGGGCTTCTTAAGAAAACCTACCCCCCTATATTCACCTCCGCAATAATACCTTCCCTCGAGTCTATTATTTTTCTAAGCTACAGCCTTCTATTATACCTACTTTAACAAATCCTCCCCCCCCCTTCAAATATAACCCCTAACCTATCGATCCCCGGCAACCTAGAGCCTACTATAAAGACCCTCTTTAATTAACTTAATATATTTATAAGGGCTAACGGGTTTAATATTATAAAACGGTATAAATATACCTCTCGGATAGGCCGGCTTATATAATACTCTTTTTAATATAATTAATTTGGTGAACCTAGTCCCTTAAAATATATAGGTTTCCGATAGTATAGGTCTCGGAAGTATAGCTACTAATAGTAAGTAATTATTAAAACGTAAGAGGAAGGCAAATGGCTTTTACGCCACCTACTAAATACTCACTATAATCAACATAATCATTAACTAAGCCTTAAGGCATCTACCTACCCTTTACATCAAAAGCTCACCTAGCCTATTATAAATTCTATTAAAAATACAAGCCGTCGTATTAGTATTCGGGCACATAACGTCCGCATTATTATACAAGAGCAGTTCCCGGATTCCGCACTTACCCAGCGCGATATTTATAATGCTAAAGCGCGTATAAAACGGGAAAAGCTAGATAGTTATTTGCTAACGGCTATGTTAATTAAGTTATTCAATAAGCGGGAGATCCCCTATATTATTAAATAGAATAATAATAAGCCGGCCCGCCTTATGAGGCTTGTCTAGACCTTTCTTTACTATCTCTAAATATAGAAGCGGTTCCCCGAAGTAGTTAGCTTCGATAATACCTATAATACTAATTACTTTAAGCTTCTACTATTCTAAGTAACTAGGCAGACCTACCTTGGGTCTATTTATAACGAATAGTTAGAGGGCTTCCAATTTCTCTCAAAAGGCGTAAGAGAACTAGTCGAGTAATACTTAATTTATCGGCCTATAATTATTATTACCGACTATAATAAGTAGATAAAAGCTATACTTAACGAAGAGTTTCTAAATACCTAGTAACAGCTCTATATCCACTATATTAATTTTAACAGTATACTTAAGGCTAAGTAGAAGTGTGCTAAAGCCGGCGGCAATAATAGTAGTGATAGTAGGTCTAATAAAGAGGATCCTCACTCGGTAATATAAATAGTAGCGGAGCTTAGCGACGAAGACCGCACCTATATTAATATAACGGCAAATTAAGCTATCCCGTATACTTACCGCGGTATATTTATTATATAAAAGCTTGTTATTTTTATTAAAACTAAGCACTCTTTTAAGAAAGTATGAAAGAAGCTTTATAGAGAGTTTGATAACTAACGCCTAATCTTATAGGACTTCTATTCTATATACTTACTTATAAGAGCATAGTAGGCTCGCTATTTCATCCGCTAGTATCAAAACTTTAGTATTCGTATTAACGTGGTTCATCAGTCAGCGACGAACTTTTTCCCATGCACGTAATGGTATTTACTATTGCACAACCACAACACATTGAATTAACTATTCCTCATTACTACTCGAATCATTTGACAATTCCGTATCCTTAGAACAGGTTCGCGCATTATGACCGGTCTCGCCACACACACCACAGCGTCTCCGAGCTGGCTGGGCTCTCTTTGATGGACCCCCCTCCTCATCCTCTTGAGGTGCTGGACGTTTCCCTTTTTGTTTCCCTTCAAGCAAAACCTGAGATTCCTCTATACTAAGCGCCCCTCCAAGCTGGACCCGCGTCCTTTTAGCCCTCCGACGCTTACCAAGTGCAATATTCGCATCCTTAAGGGTACGAAGCCGATCAGTCAAAAGAGTGATTGAGTGCGCCATTGCCTACGCACCCTTTTAACAATTGCTCAACTATAGCAATAATTGGCGTTAGTGAGCTTCCTTAATGAGCAGTGATCCGACTTTTGATAAAATTAGACTGCGAGACGGTTTGTTGTGGGTTAGAGGGCGTTTGCGACTGCCAAGGTGGTGGTGTTGAAGGGTTGGCCACAGGAGGTGTAGGCGTCCGTAAACGTACATCAAGCTTTTCAATGACATGCTCTGGGTTCCATGGTGAAATTCCAGCGCCTCGAAAAGCAGCCCTAATGTTTTCTTCATTAAAAACTTTGTTATGGGCCTGGTAGAAGGCAATAAAGAACTCCGACTTGGTGATGTGGTTTATGGAGGCTTTGATGAATAGGTTGATTTCATCACCATATGCGCGTTTTAAAGGCGAATAAAGGGCAATATCTAATGGCTGTAGTAGATGTGACGAATGTGCAGGCATACTGACGGTTATAATATTGTTCTGCTTGCAGTAATTGTCGAATTCGGCCGATAAATGGCTCTCGTGGCCGTCGATAATAAGCATCCGGTAGACGCCCTTCGTTTGGTTCTTAGTATGTTTGTCGAAGTGTTTAATCCAGTCAAGACCCGTCTGATTATCCGTCCATCCATTATTGGTAGGTTTGATAACCCAGTCGCTAGGAAAACCTGATTCCGTGGTCCAACTAGTAAGGTGATATGCGCCTTTAACAATCACGAACGGAGGGATGCACCACCCGCCCGAATAAATATATTTAATAACTATAGCCCATTCACGGTTGCCAGGCTAGACAGACTTTGCTTTGCCGCGTCGATCAGCGCGTGTTACTACTATTGACGCGGTGATTATGCCTATCATAAAGCCAGTTTCGTCGAAATTATATAGGTCCCCCTCTTGGATACCATACTTGGCCATTATATTGCGTAATATCGCAAACTACTTTGATATAACCTCAGGATCTTCTTAAAGAGCCCTTTGATAATCGTATGGACGATTAAACTTGGTTTTCAGAGCAGGCTGCGAGTCCACAAACCGCCTGGCCCATCGCTTGCCAACAGGCTTGCCATTACGCGCTCGTAGCAGGAGATTGGCCATATCTTCCACACCAGCGAGACGCAAGGGAAACCCTCTTTGATCCTGCTCTCAATAACGTATTAGAGAAGCGCTTTCTCTTCGATCGCATCAAGTTTATGTCGTTGGGGTTAGGCACGTTCGCGTCGGGGTCGATCGTTCATTCTATGGCGTACGGAACTTTCGGGGACACTGTAAGTCTTCGCAGCACGCAACACACTTAGTTTTCGGCCGGCGGCGCGGGCTGATCGGATAGTCTCGATGGCTAGAAGTATCTTGTCTTCTTGTGTGTAAATTGGCATAATGGTTGTGGAGTTATTACGCGTCAAAGGTTGGAGTGGTTTAATGCAAACCGCATTTGGGAAAAAGTTCGTCGCTGACTGATGAACCACGTTACTTATTACTGGTATCTTTATAATAACACCTTTAATAAAATCCTTAAAAATGATTTCATAATTCTTTTTAATATATTTATTTAACTTCTCTACCTTCATACTTACAAAGCAGTGCTCTATATAAGTTATATAGTATAAATATATAGTATAATATTCATATCATGTATCTTTTATTATATAATATATATTTAATCCTGCGTTATAAATAATAAAGTAAATAAATATTAATATAGACCGCTAAGGCTAATAATAAAAGTCGGCCGTTAAGTAATCGCTTGGTATAAATCTCTATAGTACATAGAGGCTAAATCATAAGCTCTTATAATAATAAGAATTATATAGTATAGCTTTATTATATTAGAATAAGCTTGCTATATTTACCAAGGCAGCTTGAGAGCGCCATAGAGCGCCTGGGCCAGCCAAGTGTGGCTGCCCAATCTGACAGTAATTAGCTTCCCATGCTGTCACGACTGCCATTGAACCAAGCGCTGCGATAATACACACTAGAGGCCCCTTTGGGCAGTGGCGTGGCACCCATCACTTCCTAAACGACCTACCCTGTAATAGAGGCAAAGCCACAAAGTGCCGCTGATAGATAAGCTAAGAAGCATCCGTACATCTAGAGCGACTGACTATTATCACTTGCCCCTTTTCCTGGAACGTGGTCGCATTGTGCGGATATCCGTGCTTTCTGTACTCCGTAGTCCGTACCAATCATCCTCTCCCCAAGGCATTTGAACCGTTCTCATACCACATACCCATGCTCAACCAGGCTGTCGGCGACGACAAACGACCGACCACCCCCCTGGAATGAACCGGTACTACGTGTAGCCGTGACACATTCAATGCCGTGGGTGTGGTAGCGAGCTTGTTCCGGTTGACCAACTTGAACGTCTCTGGCCAGACTCTCCCAAGCGTATCGAATACCTCACTACACACCTTCAGGTGCACAGGATGCCCTCACCCAAAACCATCAGCTCGGCTACCTTTTCGAACCCAGGCTTGTCGCAGTCGCATTCACCGTCGCTATACCACCCCGAGCAGACCCTTCAGACCCATCAAATACATGCATCGGGCTCACCGCAATACCAGCAACACCACCACAATCAGCAGCAACGGCAACCGTCTTATCAGAAGCAGCACAGACTCTCCAGGTCCTTCCCCTCGTCGCCGTCTTCAAATCACCTGGCTGTCCCCCGCTACCCGATCGGCACACGCTCCGACCGACCACAGGCTCCAGTCTCATCTTCGCTTGGTTCTCGTCTTGACACAAGCACGTCCTTTTCGCGCAAAACGCCGTCACCACTACCACGAACATCCTCTCTTCTACCGCCCCCGCAACAGCCTGCAACTCACTTTCCGACAAACAAGCCCGATATCGTGATCCTCGAAGAAACCGACTCAAACTCGCCATTGGACTACGAAGTGTTTTCACATCTCCGACCCTCCACCGCCCACTCGCGTTCGAGCAGCGCAGGCCTTTCGAGTGACGGTGTAAGAAATCTCAATCGCTGGTCTGCCTCGACAACCTCAAGCCGGGCGTCGGCCCAGGACCATCGCGCGTTCAACTCTCATGCACGCCGCATGAGCGTTGATGCCTCTGCATTACCCGCGACTAATAGCACATTGGCACCTAGTCAGCCAAGTCAAAGGCTCCCGAGACACCGACGACGATCAAACTCCAGCGACGGTTCTTGGGGAACTAATAGCGGAAGCAAGTTGCGCGCCTACTCACCATCTGGATTCACGCACACCGAGGGTCATTCCACCCTGTTTACATCCCATAACCACAACTCGCCCTCGACGAACAAGCTCGCAACTCTAGGAAACGGCTCGCGAGCGCCGACGGGTGCCTCCCGTGCGCTCAAGACTGGCCTCGTCACCGACCAGAACCAAACCTGGGATGCATTCTCCGGTCCCGGACGGAGAGGATCAACTGAACAGCGTCGACAGCAAGTGTCTCGCGTAGCAATGCCACCCGATCGCAATGGGGAGGCCTATGAGACGAAGGGCCACTCCCGCAATTGGTCGCAGGCCGCAAAGGGGAGTGCCGATACCACTGGGTCCTCGCGGGGCAAGGAAAGGGGAAACCGGCCGCCATCGCAAAAAGCCATGCTTTCACGAGCCTTACAAAAGGCGAATACGGCAGTTCAGCTAGATAATGCGCAGAACTTTGAAGGCGCGAGGCATTCATACGCGGAGGCATGCGAGCTGCTGCACCAGGTGCTTGCTAGGACATCCACCGAGGAGGACAGACGAAAGCTTGAGGCGATCGTGAGTCTAACGGTGTTATTCTTCAAACGGCTGAAATCAAAGCTAACCAGACCAAGCGTCGAACCTACACCAGTCGCATTGAAGAATTGGATGAAATGGTTCCCGTCCAGCAAGTTGCAGAAGGCAAGGCACTGCCAGCTAGACCAGAAAGCCTGGGCCTGCGCTTGAATCCTACCCTGCAATTCGACGATGACGATGAAGATTTGGAGGATACGGATGGCTTGGAAACTGCGACATTGACGAGGATATTGAAAGAGGGAAACCAACAAGCAAACAGCTACAGTGGCTCTGGTCTAACCATCTCACGAATGCAGGGTCTGGGAGACCGACAAAGGAGTGCTTCTGCAAGGTTACCGGAGCAGTACCCCTTGCAATCCTCCTTCTCACGATCTCCGCTTCGAGACCGTGCGTCAGATGATCAACTCATCTTTCAAATACCCACAGACGACGCATACATGCCGCCGCCGCTCTCCCCGAGACGGCTCTCGTCACCCAAGGCTGACGGCCAAAGTAGCCCTGATGGACCCATCAGATCAGACTTCTCCCTCTCAGCAAGACGAACTAGCCAAAGTTCTCGACACGTCAGGGACTCGAGTCGAGAGTCGAGCTCGTGGTTGGACCCCATTGATGAGTCTGGAGGTTCCACAGCGTCCTCCGTTCATTCCAGGTCGTCATCTGCAGTGATAAGGCGCAAGCACATACGTGCCCCGAGTGGCGCTACTGAAGCAGAGTTTGACGCAGCGTTAGACGCCGCAGTAGAAGCAGCCTATGACGATGGGTATGAGCCGACAGGATTTTCTAATCCAGAGACTCAAGGCTCAGATGATCCGATTGTAGCAAAGGCCTTGAGAAAGGTTGAGTTGGCCAAAGAGCGGGTTCGCCAAACGGAGAGAGAGGCTATTGAACAGGCCAATGAGAGAGACCGGCTTGCGCGAATTCAAGCGGAACAGCAGTCTGACGAAGATGTCGTCCGCGAAGACTTCTTCGATGACGGATCATCAGATGAAGAGGAGCGCATTCTCGACGAGATCACTCGAGACTACTCGGTTGACGATTTCGCCTTTAACCTAGCCTCTCATCAGGCTGCAGCTAGAACCTCGGGCTCAAGTGATCTGGCCCAGTCGTCATGGCAGCCGTCCGTCACTCCAACCGATGCCGCAGGTGATGATGTTTTCTCTTCTCTTGCCGATCCTATCGCCGCAAACAACTTCCCGAGTGTCGGAGGCCCTGCAGTTCCGCCGCCAGCACAAGCTTTGCCCCAATTGCCCAGTAAAAAGCCTGTATCGGGGGCGACGCCATTGCCAGGGCCTGGGCAAAGTGTGCGAAGCAGGCGGATGTCCGGACAAAATCCTAAGCAACTAAAGATTGAAACTACCAAGCTTGCAAAGTATGGCGACCCTGGTCGACGATACAGTGTTGCCCAAGCGTCGAGTGGAATACATGGGGTAGATTTCGGACACCCTGACATTAACGGGCCTTCCGATGCGGATGCGGATGGCTCAATGGCTCGGCCATATTCGCCGCCAGAAGGCATCAGTCCAACCCAGCCAGTGCCTCCTACACCTCCGCTTGGCCACTCAAGAAGCCGGGACAGTGAGGACTTTACGGGCAGCCACTCTGGTTCGCCTTCTTTTCGACCTACATTGAGGAAGAACTTCTCTTCCTCAAGTCTAAGAAGCATGAAGAACCGGAACATGTCTTTATCGAATCTGGACGATGCGTCTGATATGTCTCCCGGCACCCCATTAAGTACCGCTTTTGGCATTAATGGCAGACATCCAGCGATGCCAACGTTGCCGACACCCTTGGCAGCTGCTTTCAAAGAGAAGTTCACGCCAAGCTCTGCCGGGGGCCTTTACCTGTTTGATGATAGCCTTCATTCACCGCAGAGCCCGGGGTCGCCAAACGCACTTCAGCCAGATGCCCCAATTCCCCTAGAGCCGTGCCCAACAGACTATATGTTGAGGCCATTTTGGCTAATGCGATGTCTATATCAGACTCTTGCTCACCCCCGCGGAGGATACCTCAGCAACAAGCTATTTGTTCCACGCGACGTATGGAAGGTGAAGGGCGTCAAGATTCGAAATGTGGAGGATAAAGTGGCAACGTGCGACTACCTAACAGCTGCGCTATTGAAGCTCGCGCGAGTCGACACATGTGACGCGGATGCTGTTCTCGAAGAGATGCAAGCTTTGGAAGGCATTCTCGAACAAGTACAAGTCGGGCTGACGCGCAAGCTGGGTACGGATGTGGGTGTTCAGACCTCCAGCATGTTATTCCGAGATGCGTCGAATTCGGCAGAGCTTGAAGCGGCAATCAGCGTGCCGCGTTCAGCAAGCGTGTCGGGAAAGTCCTCATCCTTCTCATGGCGGAGGCTGCGGTCCAAGAATTCGGCAGCGGGCTTGAACAATTCCTTTAATGCCAAAAGCAATGGGGGAGAGAGCGGTAAGGAATCTCCAGGCCTAGAAACACTGCCGATGACGGAACACCCAACAAGTCGTCCTTCCAGAAGAGACCCGAGCAACGCGCAATTTTCAGGGCCGAATGCGAACTATATGGGGTCACTGGCTCGACTGTTTGACGCTGCTCAGACGATTGGTAAGATGGCCAATAGCTTTTGCCAGATACCCTGTATGACTGACACTTTGAGATCCAGACCAAATCGCGCGCCAGGTTGAAGATCCAGGCCTGAGGCATGCCGACAAGACACAGGTCGGCCTCGAGCTTTGCACACGACATGCGGCAGAGTTTTTTGGCTTTTTCATCTGCCGGTTTGTGTTGTCTGACCTGAGTCTGCTCTTGGACAAATTCATCAAGAGGGGAAGCGAGTGGGTTCTCGCCTAAGATAACGAAGCATGAGCTGCGTGACACGAACTGTTCATGTGGATATGATAAGCAAGCCACGGAGGCATGATTTAAGAGTAGTAAAGAGCAGCTGAAGGGGCTGCTAACCGGACTTATTTAATCAAGAGCCATACCTGGGTTTAGAAGGTCGGATGTCCGATGATAGAAGCTAAAGCCGGATGGAATGGCGGAATTGTCTACGCAAGCCTGCTTGCTGGTCCTGGGTTTGAAGTTTTCATATTCCAAAGATACCTCAACATTTTCAACATTGAAATGGGATTGACTACATAATTATAAGAAATTTCGATGTGGACGCAGGGCGAGCGTCTACTATCAGTTGTAGGTCGGGCCCGGGTATGATGATGACATCGGGCTCTGTGAATTGGCTCCGTTGTCAACGGATGTGGCATCGGAGGCAGGTGGCCGGACGGCCCGAACCATAGCTTACCTATCAGAAATCAACCTGCCGGGAAGGCCGGCCTGTCGGGTGCCCGTAGGTGACCCGCACAAGCTTGATATGCCGCTAAGTGTGCCCTGTCTACGGATGGACCTGCACTTAATGGGTATAAGGTAGGGGTACCTTACCACGTGGTAGGTGCCTCCAAGGTCCCCGTAAGTACGGAACCTCAGGTACCTTGCCTTGGGCTAGTGCGCCTTCCTCTGTCCCTGCGCCTGGCGAGAAAAGTAGGTAGCCATGGTTCAATGTGTTGAACGCCCCAAGCCAACTACAGTCGACATTTATCACACCCTCGCCCTTGGGACATTCGAACCCCGAGCTTGAATCTGCTCGATGCAGAGAAACATACCTTGATGCGCGGCCCCTTAGCGACGAGCGTGCGCTTTACGCGGGACCAATTGGTCGGAATTCCACGCCAATTACAACGATTTTCCTCGTCGAGCAAGACGGCTCGTATCTCCTTGCAAGGCAATGTTCGTGCGCAACGGCCGCGACAATGGAAGACATTGACATGCAGTGGCATCGATCATGGAAGATCGTTTCACTGCGGCACGCCAACCTTCGCTAAGCCTGCGGCGCCGTCACGGTCTGCGCTCGAGGAGCGAATACTTTCGATTCCGATTGAACGATACCGCAACTTTTGTATCGTGGCCCATATCGATCATGGCAAGAGTACGCTTAGCGACCGCCTTCTAGAGATCACCGGTACGATATCCGCCAGCGATGCCAATAAGCAAATTCTCGTGAGTTTGGGTCTGGCTGTATGGCTGCATATTGAGGAGGGCGTAAAGCTAATGGTGCCCCGTCGTTTCGTAGGATAAACTGGATGTTGAACGTGAACGAGGCATTACTGTCAAGGCGCAGACTTGCACCATGCTATACAACTACAAGGGCGACGACTACCTCCTGCATCTCGTTGACACTCCTGGCCATGTTGACTTCAGAGCCGAAGTAACGCGATCGTACGCCAGTTGCGGTGGTGCTCTACTGCTAGTCGATGCTAGTCAGGGTATCCAGGCCCAGACTGTCTCTAATTTCCATCTTGCATTTGCCCAGGACCTCGCTCTCATTCCTATTGTCAACAAAATTGACATGCCCTCCGCTGACGTACCGCGGGTCCTCGAGCAGATGCAAACGTCTTTTGAGCTGGAACCTTCCACGGCTGTCCTTGTATCAGCCAAGACTGGCAAGAACGTGGCCAACATCCTTCCCGCCGTTGTAGAGCAGATTCCGCATCCTGTCGGCGATGTTTCCAAACCTGCGCGCATTCTGTTGGTTGATTCATGGTACGACAACTTCAGGGGCGTGATCCTGCTTGTACGCGTCTTCGATGGCCAGGTCAAGGCTGGCGACAACCTGATCTCCTTCGCCACTGGCCACAAATATACCGTTGGCGAGGTTGGGATACAGTACCCCAATGCTGTCCCACAAAGTGTCCTTCGAGCTGGACAGGTAGGCTACATCTACTTCAACCCTGGTATGAAGCGCATCCAGGACGCCAAACTCGGCGATACGTTCACCACCGTCGGCTCGGAGGACATCGTCCAGGCGTATCCTGGTTTTGAGGAACCAAAGCCAATGGTCTTCGTTGCGGCCTTTCCAACTGATCAGGGCGACTATACGCGTCTCGCAGATAGCATCAGCCAGCTCGTACTGAACGACAGGAGCGTGACCCTGCAGAAGGACTATTCCGAGGCATTAGGGGCAGGCTGGCGACTAGGCTTTCTAGGCAGCTTACACTGCTCTGTATTCCAGGACCGGCTGAAACAGGAACATGGCGCCAGCATCATAATCACGGACCCAACTGTGCCGACTAAAGTTGAATGGGCTGGTGGGACCGAGACGATCTATCAGAATCCGGCTGACTTCCCCAGCCAGGATGAGCACCGGATGCGCGGTGCAACTGTCTTAGAACCGTAAGCCGAAGTCTTCTCTCGTTTCAATATGCCCTACGGTTAACCTTATTACCTTTGTTAGTTTCGTTACTGCTACCATGACTCTTCCGGAGGAGTACCTCGGCCGTGTTATTGAGCTTTGCGAGAGCGTGCGTGGCGAGCAAAAGAGCTTTGAATTCTTTCATGCCACGCAGGTTATTCTCAAATACGATATCCCTGCAGCACAACTCGTCGACGACCTGTTTGGTAAACTGAAAGGCGCAACGTAGGTTTCGACCCCTTTTACCAACCATACTGGGTCATTGTCCTAACGGCTAGAGCAGAAAGGGATACGCGACACTAGATTATGAAGACTCTGGCTGGCGAGCCAGCCAGCTCACGAAGCTGCAGCTTCTTGTCAATAAACAGCCTGTGGATGCCATTTGTCGTGTCATCCATACCTCCCAGGCAGAGCGCCTCGGTAGGCAGTGGGTGACTAAATTCAAGAACCACGTCGATCGACAGATGTTTGGTGAGTACTCTCTATACAGCGCTCAAGTGTTACGGCAGCATTTTCTGACCTAACTCTTTGCAGAGGTCGTTATTCAGGCGGTGGCGGGGAGGAAGATTGTTGCACGCGAAACCATCAAGCCATTCCGAAAGGATGTGCTTGCAAAGCTCCATGCTTCAGACATTACGCGCCGGAAGAAACTGTTGGAGAAGCAAAAGGCCGGGCGTAAGCGACTTCGCGCCGTTGGCAACGTTGTCATTGATCAGTCTGCTTTTCAAAGCTTCCTCTCCAGGTGAGCGCACTAATGGTAGGCTGGACTGGGCTGTCGAAATGTACAAAAGTTGAAGCCAAACGGATCCCACGGGACCTATATTTGTGTATGAAGATAGGTAAACTTGGTGTAATAACAGTCATGTCCAAGCCTGAATGGTCCCTTGTATCTGGAGAACTTTGGCCACTGGGAAGAGATCTGTTCTCGTCAAGACTCTTCCCAATGTCCCAGCGCCTATGGTCACCTCTGGCATGGATGATGTCTGCTCTCCTTTGTTGCAGTATCAACCCGCGAGGAGCCCCAGGCCTTCTATTCGGGTCATGTGATTGAGACATCGCGCAGTCTTAGAGTAGTCTATGTACTGCCTTTTTTTTTGGCAGAGGCCATCTATCAACACATGGCATCTCGTGCTTCAAGTGCTAGGCTTATGGGGGAGTCTGCGAGGCTGGCGGCAATTCAGAGCCGATGATTACAGGTTCCGTCCTCGACTTGCCAAGACCACCACTTAGAGTCGACTCAGCTTGCAGGAGCTGTAAAGGACTCCCTGGTGCCCCGCTCTTCTCAAATTCGAAGATTCTATAGTCGGCGTTGAAGAACCAATAACCCGTCACGCCGGCGCGGAGGAACCCTGAGTGAGAGACGACGAAGACAAGCTTCTCCTTGCGTTCATAGATGCTCTGCAGGCCTGACTGACCTCGGCCGAGTATGGCTTCCCTGTTAAAAGCATATTGGGCGCCGGCAGGAGCTGTTTTGTTGGGGTAGATAGGGTCTACAGTGGAAAAGTCAATACTAGGAAATTCGACTTTCAAATCCGCGATAGTGCTGCCTGTGTCGCATGGTTTCGCGGAGTTTTCTACACTATGGTCAGTGACGTGGCCTCAGAAAGCCTCGAGAGGTAACCTTGACTCCCAGAAGGATGTACGGCTGATTACCTTGCCATCGAGCGTCGGCTTGAATCGGCACCCCTTTCTTGATCAGCCAGTCCAACGAGAGAAGGGCTGTCTGGATCGTGCGCCTCATGGGGCTGACGATGATGATGGCATCACTCTCATCGGCGAAACGACGCGAGAGGTTTTCCTTCAGTTCCTGGCACTGGTCCAACCCAAGAGAAGACAGATCAGGGTCATGAATGTTCCAGTCCTGTAGTGTGATGTCAGATTGATTCGTAAATGTGAAGCTGGACGGAAGACTCATCATCAACATTGTGCAGCGCCTGGGCATGACGGATGAGCACGACGGTCGGCGGCATAGCGATATTTGGACGGTGCTGAGACGATCGGTCTGGTATAGGTTCACAATTGGGTTCTACAGACTCTAGGAGATGTATGCTGGACAGTTGATGAAGATGATGGTTACCACATTTAGCTCCATGACGCCGGAGTAGGCAAGTCTAAGCGCAGTGGCATTACTAGAAACGGCTACGCGATGCACCGGGTGGGCATATGCTTCACTTGCTGCGGAGCCCCGTTATATGCATATATGCGTAGGTACCTTACGGAGCACTCCGCACTCTTAGCAATGGGCGGCTGGAGCTACAGTGCAGGTATCGTTACCTAGGTACCCCCTACGTACCCTGAAGGTGCCTTGAATTGAGCTACACTGGTGGGCCAGGCGCGACGGCACCAAGCAACACTCGCGTCTGAAAGCTTCTTGATTCATCCAAAGCGTGGGCCCAGTACCATTGCTGCAGAACTACCTACTCAACAGCGCAAAACACCGACAGTAACCCAATCCCTCTCTCGAAAGTATTCCGAGGAAATGGCGGATGTCAACGAGTTGTTCAAAGTGAGTTGCACCAAAAACTTTCGGATCACATCCTTACTTACCAAGCACGTCAAAGTCCGGCAGTGCTGCGAAAAGGAAGCTTGATGCTGTGCGAGATCCCAGTTAGTACCTGCCTCCATCCCCCCCTTTCGATAACCAATATTGTCCGGCCGCGAATACGAAGTGACAGACGGATAGATGAAATATACAAGTCAGCAAAACTGAGCGCAGCTGACGCTGTCAGTCGACATGCGAGCACAGTAGACGCGGAAGGAGACGATAGCGATGTCGCTGCCGGACCGCCAAACCCACCCGAAGATGGCGAAGACGAAGACTATGGCCCAGAGATGCCCCCGGACGACGACGACGAGGGACGATTCTTTGGCGGGGGCATCACACAGCAGGAGTCTGAGATTCTCGACTTCGTAGACGGCCACGGCGAGGAATCATCCGCCCCCGAAAAGATCGATGCTGGCTGGGTACGGAAAACGGCACTCAACTTCGAGAAGCGCATAACCCGGAACGCTGAGCTGCGCGCAAGATTCGCCGATGAGCCCAACAAGTTTATCGAGAGCGAAGCCGACCTCGACGCTGCCATCAAAGACCTCTCGATCCTGTCCGAGCATCCCGAGCTATATCCCCAGTTTGCCAAGCTAGGATGCGTCGAGAGCCTCGTCGGGTTGCTAGCCCATGACAACACAGATATTGCGATTGATGCGGTGGAAATCATCGGCGAGCTCACCGACGAGGACGTCAATGCAGCGGATGAAGATTGGGATACTCTGGTGGATGCGTTATTGACTGCAGACCTCATCGGTTTGCTTGTGTCCAACTTCTCGCGTCTGAACGAGGAGGATGAGTCCGACCGCGGCGGTATATACCACGCCCTCGGAGTTATTGAAAACCTTCTCTCCAAGACGGCGAATGCTGAAAACGTGGGACAGAACACGACGCTGGTCAAATGGCTACTCGACAGAGCACAACGCCAAGAGTCACCCGTGTCCCAAAATAAGCAATACGCTACGGAAATTCTCGACATCATTGCAAACGCATCGCCAGCAACAAGGCGGACACTCGCCGAGATGGATGCTGTCGAGGTTTTACTCCAGCTGGTCTCTGCGTATCGCAAACGTGACCCCGAAAAGGGGGGCGAGGAGGAAGAGTACATGGAGAACCTCTTCAACGCCCTCGTCTGCATTGTGGACGAGCCAGAAGGCAAGGCCAAATTTCTCGAAGCCGAGGGTGTCGAACTGTGCCTGATCATGCTCAAGGAGGGTAAGATGAGCAAGCAACCGGCAATGCGTCTTCTTGTACACAGCGTTGACGAAGATATGAGCGGGCAACTCTGCCGAAAATTGGTGGATGCTGGCGGGTTGAAGGTGCTCTTCTCCATGTTCAAGAAGACGAGCAAAACCCAGAGACAGATGACAGAAAGCTTGTTTGATGTTTTCAGGTCCTTGCTACGATTTCTACCCGCTGACTCTGCCGAGAGAATCAGGACGTTGGCTAAGTTCGTGGAGAAGGATTACGAAAAGCTGGGTCGGCTCTACGAGTGTCGGAGGAGGTATAGTTCCATGTTGGACGCGCAACAGGAAAAGATTCGCCAAGAGCGAGCTGGCATGAGCGCCGAGGAGATTGAGCTCTCGGAAGGCGAGTGGTTCATGAGGAGGATCGAGGAAGGTCTTTACAGCTTCTGGAACATCGACGTTGTTTTTGCTTGGCTCATAGCTGAAGATTCCGGCGCTAAGAGGAGGGTGCAGAACCTCTTGGCCTCTGACGGGAAGGGTCTATCAGCCATCAAAGCGACGTTGGAGGAATACCGAGCTGACCTCAACCTCGACAAGCCCGAGCACAAGGACCTCTCCGACATGCTCACCACTCTTATGGACTTTTTAGTTTAGACAGAAGAAGATGAAGGGGAGGACAGGCTAGCAAAGTACAATTCCACCACAGCTACCCGATCTACGTAGGTGCGATTCTCCAAAGTCCCGGTGACACCGCGCAAGCAACCGGCACTTCAATCTACTCTCCTGGTTTCGCGCATCATCGGCAATCTGTGAATGTGTCCTCTTCATCCTGTTCTCTCCCGGGACAAGAGTGCTGGCTTTCTTTCTATTCGTATGCTCCGCACAGCGTATCCGATCCACTCGTTATCGACATGTTTTGATGCTACGCGGCAGGCTGATAATGGCTCATGCGGCAGTCGGTGCGACGGGCTTGACCTCGAAAACGGCCTTCAGGAGGTCAGTCACGACCTTGTCCTGGCTCTTCTTTCCGGCCCCCTGGATCTCCTTGATCTTTACTTCGGCCTCCTTGTTCGCCTCGTCCTCGGCGGCTTTGTTTCCTTGGGAGTGCTACAGAGTTGTCAGCGCCAAGATGGTATCGAAGCGGTATCGGAATCCGCGACAGATATACCTCAGATTCGAACTTCTTGAACTCATCCTCCTTAGAGTTGCGGTACGCCTCGATTTCCTTCTTGGCCTCGTCTCGGGCTTCCTTCACCCGCTTCGTACGAACTATTCCGATACAACGTGAGCATGTCACAATCGCAGCAGTATCGATCGGGCTTGGAACCTACACTCGCGGGCTGGGCAGGGTTCATTCGTTAGCCAACCGGTTACTTCAACATCCACTCTTGAGCATACCTTTTTGGACAATCTTGGAAGCTTCCCTCTCTGCCTGCATCGCTTGGTTCAGTGACAATTCGACATGGAGTGTCGCGACGGAGAGTACGTACGTCCAAGAGGGTCTGGATACCAGCTGAGTTCTGAGCCGACTGTAGAGCACCAAATCAGCTTGGTGCAAGTTGATGGAATGACGTCCCTGTCCGCGTCGCACGTCCTCACCATTGTGTAGTATTGTTGCAAGTGTAGCTAGCGAAGAAAGCGACGTAGGATGAATGCGCGATTCGAGGCGGTTGGCCGTTGGATATCACAAGGAGCGAATGCAGGTGAAGTGTTGGTAACTGTAAGGTAAGGTAGTTGTCAACAATCACAAGTAACAGGAGGCCGCAAGGAAAGCTGGGGTGCGCTGGTGACGGAGCGTAGGTATGTCAGGTAAGGCGAGGTACCTACCTAAGGTAGGTGCCAAGGAAGGTCACAGTGCACAGCCGCGGCGCCTCGAGCACTGTACCTCCGGCCTCGACCCTCCACTTCAAGCTCCCGTCTATCTCTACCGTAGAAACTCGAACAACCCAAACTTGCGTTAGCCCGTGCTAACCCTGCAAGCGCTCACTAACGGCCCTTATTAAGCTAATTACGGTAGTTAATTATAATAGATTATTATTATGGATCATATTATAGTTAGAGGATAATATACAAATTTTTACTGATATTTATTTTTAATAATTGTTAAAAAGATAAATTTTTTACCTTATTATTTGCCTTATTATTTAACTTACATAAGCATATTATATATTAGGTCAATCTATAAGAGTTATAAATTAATATAGATATTGATTACGTAAGCAAAATTGGTTATGTAAGCTTACGTGAGCGAAAGAAGGCACTGGAAAGTAATAGAATGCGCTGGAATTTACTTGAAAGATATTACGATTACGCATTCACTTACGTATAACTATGCTTATTAATAATGATATAATTAATAAGCAATGGAATATTCTAGTCAGAGGATCTTATGCCTATATAAGAGCATCTTTTTACCTACTTAGACCTTTTGTTAAGTAAGCAACTTCTCATATAGTAATCTAACTATATACTCTCTTTACATTTATCAACCTCTTTTATATACGCTTAACTACCACTATATTCATATATTCTTGCTTCTATATGAATATTTATCATTCAATACTCTTGTATAAGAGTCTTATCACTTACTTTTTAAAGCTATCGTGCCAGAGCTAGGTTTATAATAAGCTAAATTGTATCAAGAATGATTGTTACGAGTGCTAAAAGATATTTAAATACAAAAATAATATAACTAAACAATCGTAAATAAATTATAGTTATTTAAGCCATTAGTTTGTTAGGCTATAGGGTGCCGCCGTATATTATTGTTATAGGCTAATATTACCTCTCTACCTAGTATATAAAAATCGATCTTTTACGTAACTAGGTTATTGTAATATCTAAAAACGGATAGATAATAAACAAAAAAGAACTAGATTAGCTCTAGTACTTTAATTAGTATATAAAACCGCGCATAAATAGTACTTATCGCCTTGTCACAGACCCGCTGTCTTAGCCCCCAACCTTGAGATTGGTGTTGAGTAATCCGGTGGCCGGGTTACGTAAGCCTGAGGCTGGATAAAACCCTGCATCCTGTATTCTGTCGCGCATGTCCAGAAACGTAGCTCCTTGAGCTACGTCTTGTCAACAGAGCCTGTACCTGCTTAGGATAGAGCCTGCCCGTAGCAATAGATTGTCGGACCCGCCTGCCCAGCATCCATTTGCCAAACTGTTACGCCCGCCGCAACTTGTCACTGTGGGCGCGTAGCTATATAATGCAGAACAAGGGACAATGATGCCGGAGTCATCATTATCGAAGCTTTTGCTTTGTGCCACAGTTGGTTGCCTTGTCCAGCTCGTAACACAAACAACCTGCCTGCTACCGTGACACGCCTCCTCCTCCTCCTCAATAAATATAAAAGTTACTACGCTACTGACTTTAAAATATATTATAAAAAAATAGCATTGTTATACTCTATATGCTAGCCTATTTATTTCATATATTTTAATCCTTAAATATTAGTTATTTTAGGCCTTTTAAAATAGTATATAGTTAGGAAATTAAAGATAAGATATGATAAGGCAATAGTTACCTATATTATAAAAGAGGACTTCTTCCCTATATTCTATAGCGCTTTTATACAAGCACTTGTATAAAAACACATCTAGGGAGGCTTTAGAGAAGTAGGGCTTGTCCCTTTAAGTGTAGAGAGTGTCACGGGCTGGAGCCCTGTGTGGGCTTAGGCTATGCCGTAAGCCTTACGAGCCGTGCATACGTACTTAAGTGCAGCAGAATGAACAGAGAGGGATCTGTTCATTACGTACCTTTTGGCTGAATAAGCCCGGGTGCGCATTTAGCGCAATGGTTTGTTGTGTCTGCTGCCACGTTTGCCCTTGTGGGGCCCATACCGTTACAGAAACGATCGGGAATATAAGTCGAAAATATACTTAACTAGCTTCTCCTCTTCAAGCATAGTCAAGTTCCGCGATTTAAGTATAGTGTTATATCATAATAAAATGCCTTTTATTTACTAATATAGCGTTCTAGAGCAGGCTGAGTATACCTTAGCTGTAGCCCGAGCGCTAAGGGTTGGGTTATTTCTAATAGCTTAAAAGGCTACTTATATTTGAAATTCTTTATTACTTAGCGCTGTAGTTTATTATAGAAGAAAAGTTATCGATTGTATTATTATGTTATAGCTATAATTAGTTGCGATACTCGCTTGTTTATAACACTCACTTATTAAACACGTTAGTTTATTAATTTAATAGTTTGATTATTAAATAAATAAGAACTAAAGAGTAGTTAGAGATTAATAGTCATTATTATATAAATTAATTAATTAACTAATATTTTTATTTCTATTAATTTAATAAAAAAAACTTAAAATTATTAATTTTATTAAATTAATTATAGATTTAGTTTTAACGACGAGCGTTTATTAGCCCAATCTATTGAAATATTAGCTGATATTAATAGTTAACAGCGGCCGTATTAATTTATATTAGGTAGTATTATGGTTCTATTCGAGGGCTAGTAGGATTGGCACGGACTAACGTAAGTTTGGGTTATTCGAGTTTCTACGGTACCTTGCTACCCGGAAGTGGGTGGGGGTATTAGGAGCTGGTGGGAGCGGTGGCGGACATAAGTAAGGCATCCACCTCAGGCATTCCCAGCATTTTGCACTAATTTGAGGTCCGCTCTTGTGAATTGAGGCGCCTGGGGTGGTCTGCAAGGCAGGTGTTAAGGTTGGTAAATGCGTGAACTTGCGGTAGATGTCTTGAGACCACCAGGTACGTAACGACGTTCATTGGTCCTTGTTTTACGGATATTTGCGGTCGAATCGAGAACCGAGTCAACCGACACCGACGCTGCGGATGCTGTCGTTCTCGGGGAGAGATTCAAACACCGAAATCGAACCATCAACACCAACCAACAGACTTTGAGATTCCTCTGCTCGAGCCACGCATACCATTCGCTTCTACACCACCGACACGCCCGACCATCATCTTCCAATAATGTCCAGGGCATCGAAGCTCACGCTGGCCGCGACATCGCTATTCGCCGCCAGTACCATTGTCGTTGTCCATTTCCAACAAAAGTTTGAGAAAGAGGCATGTACCACCTTGAATACCAACGCTTTTGTAGGTATTTGCATCTAAACGAGACTACCTAGGCCATGCACCAAGGAGTCGTACGCGACATCGAACAGCAGCGCATCAAACGAGAGCGCCAACTCGACTTCGACATGCAGCGCGCTCTCGAGGAGGAGTATAAGCGGGAGCAGACCGTCAAAGATGCGACGGCGCCCTCACAACCTAGCGCAAGTGGCATACAGACATGACCTGTGGTCAATGTCCTGTCTTGTTTTTAGCCGGACCACAACTGGGCAATACGAAGACAGGACTGGATCGAAGGCGAACAATAACATACGGCGCATTTGTACGATAAGGGGAATAGAGGACCGAGCAAACGATGTATAGTACCCTGTGGATTCCTCCCACAGGAGAGGATAGAAAAAGCTGTAGAGATGGCATGATACTAGACAGGGGCATTGCATCACATTCGAGGTAAGGTAATCGCCAAAAGGTTGCGATGCCACACATGAAAAAGAATGCTACTGTGGTGCCGTTCGCGAAGATTAGCGTACTCGTATGCGTCAGGAACAAGGCTCAGGGAACGGAAGATGCTGCCTCCCGAACTTTTCAGTTACCGGTTACGAAGCCGGGATTGGCGATTTCCTAGAACCCGTTCCAACTGGCCCGGAGAGTATTGCAGTAATATGCTAAAAACCTTTCTTCAGTGGCCGGGCATACCGTTTCTGTCTTTCCTCATCGATTCTTATTTTCGTTATCAATGTTTAAATGGTACATGTCATTAATACAAGACACATGGAGGCGTCATCTGCCAATCTTTCTATGGATGGCTCGCCCAAAGATGTGAGTGAATTGGGTGGCCAGAATATAGTTCCCCAGCCTCGAAGACGCCAAATACAATCAATCACCTCCCAATACTCCCTGCCTGCCTACTCACCTATTCTCATCTCGCAGGCCACCTCCATGACCCGAGACTCCGGCTCGGCAACCCATTTTCCATTTTTCCCATCCAGCAGCTAGTCTCTTTATCGGATGGAGACTCCGGACCTGTTGGTAAACATGCGGGCGGCGATGTTCATTGACTGCAGCTCCTGGAACAGAAGCTTAGCTGCGTAAGGAATGTGGATTTGTGCAATCTTCGTTTTGTTCTTGCACGGCCGACACTCAAACGATTGCTTCGAGAGGTTTCTGATATCGAGTTAGCGCTGCTTGCTCTCAGTGAAATAGTTGGACCAAGGGATACTTACGCGATAGGCGTCATCAAGCCGCAAATTTCGCAAACGTGAACTCGGAAAGCATCCGAGACCTCGAAAAGTCTCTCCTTGAGGAAAGATGCTGCGCCATGAGCAATCATGCAATCACGCTCCATCTCTCCAAAACGAAGACCTCCATCACGAGCACGACCCTCCACAGGTTGTCTGGTCATGATCTGAACGGGTCCACGCGCACGAGCGTGAATCTTGTCGTCCACCATGTGGCGCAAACGCTGGTAGTAAGTCGGTCCAAAGAAGACTTGTGCTCGCAGCTTCCTGCCAGTGTGACCATTGTACATGATCTCGAATCCTCTCGATTGATATCCTTGATCTCGAAGGAGCTGCGAGACTGAGTCGACAGTCACATCTGTGAAAGGGGTAGCGTCGCCCTCCATACCCTTCAATGTTGAGACTTTGCTGAGTAAACACTCGATCAAGTGAGCAATGGTCATACGAGACGGAATGGCGTGAGGATTGATGATGATGTCCGGCGTGATACCCTCGCCGGTAAAGGGCATGTCTTCCTGCCGATAAGTGACACCAATGGTACCCTTTTGGCCGTGACGTGAAGCAAATTTGTCTCCAATTTGTGGAATCTTGGTTGTTCTGACACGAACTTTGACGTAACGGAGGCCGTCTTGGTTGGTCGTCACGATGACCTGGTCGACAATACCGTTTTCGGTACTTCTGAGTGGGGTAGAGGCATCGCGCTTGACATGCTGCGCCGTTCGTTGGCCCATCTCAGCGTTGTCCGGGCTAATGGGCGACGTCTTTCCGATGATGATATCTTCACCCGAGACACGGACTCCCGGTGCCACAATGCCGTCGTCATCAAGCTTGTCGTAGGTGCCATGCTTCAAGCGCAAGGTATCGCTTCTGAACGGCTTCTCGAACTGCTCAACAAGATTGATACCCACGCGCTTCTCGCAATCAGTGTACGATCTGAAGAACAGACTTCTGAAGAGGCCACGGTCGATGCTGCTCTGGTTCATAATAACGGAATCTTCCTGATTGTAACCAGAGTAACAGGCAATAGCCACGATGGCGTTCTGTCCGGCTGGAAGCTCTCTGAACTTGAGGAATTCCATGGACCGAGTGGTAGCAAGTGGCTTCTGAGGGTAGTAGAGAATGTTGGCCATCGTGTCCATTCTGCGCGAGTAGTTTGTCAGGAAGAAGCCCATGGCTTGCTTGCCCATGGCGGACTGGTAGGTATTACGAGGTGACTGTGAAAGGAATTAGCGAGGGCTTGATCGTCAAGTGAAATCCAAAAATTACATACCTGATTGTGATCGGGGAAGGGAATGATGCTAGCGCAAATTCCCAGGAGCATACTGGGGTGAATTTCGCAGTGAGTGTACATGTGTGTTGTGGGATTGATCTTAGTCTTCAGACGGCTGTTGGGGCCATCGGTGTTGTCCTCGACCACTTGACCTTGCTTCTGCAATCTGTAAATTTCCAGATCTTCGGGCGTCATGCAAATCATTGCTGTCTCTTCCTCCTCAGCATCGAGATATTCTATGACTCCGCTGTGGGCAAGAGACTCCCAAGTGATTTTGTCAGCCGGGTTGTCTGGCGGGTTCTCCTGCTGCTCGCGCATTTCGTTGACCGTTGCCTTTTGCAGCACGAGCGATCCCTGGGCTACTATGCCGTTGGTACCTTGCTCCACGACGAACACAGGTCTCATGACTCTGCCGGCGTCGGAAAAGATCTTGAACTCGCGGTCTCTGATATCACGGACAAGCGACACTTCGTGGGAGATAACGTTTCGCCGACGGGTGCCCTGGACGTCGGGGACCAAAATTCTTGGGTCTTGATGCACACCGACCCAGACACCATTCAGGAAGACCTTAGTGGCGTTGGGATATCTCAGTGGCTCATACTCCTCGAGAACCTCCATGCCTCGCTGGATCATGTAGTCGATGATGGGCTCTGCAGGCGTACCGACACTGACATAACACATGAGAGACAGGTTCTTGACGAGACCACAGGCTTGACCTTCTGGCGTCTCGGCCGGGCAAACCAAACCCCAATGCGTGTTGTGAAGTTGTCGGGGCTTTGCCAGCTTGCCGTCACGACCGATGGGCGTATTTGTGCGACGAAGATGGGATAGTGTAGACGCAAAAGTGTAGCGGTTCAACACCTGAGACACACCTGCCGTCGAGCTCGCGGCCTTCTTCTGGTCTCCCCAGTTGCCAGTCGCCAAAGAGTACTTCAATCCGTTGGAAAGAGTCTGCGGCTTCACACCGAGAGTGAGACTGAATTGCCGGTTAGACTCGACACAGCGCTTGAGGTGACCAGACAGTTCCTGGTTCATGCGGCGGACGATGTTGCGGAATAGCTTAGCGAGAAGAGGACCGGCGAGATCAAGGCGCTTTTTGCCAAAGTGATCACGATCATCGGTATCGCGACGGCCCAAGGCGCATTGAAGCAGCTTGTGAACCATGTATCCCAAGAAGAATGCTTTTCTTGTCTCACTGCCTTCACTCTGGGAGATATGCGGCAAAGTTTCTTTTTGAAGAATGTCTTTGGCGGTCCTCACACGCTTTTCTCTGGGGATGTTGTGGTTGCTGCCACGCTTGCCGATAAAATCAAGGGCAACCTCTCTGTCTTGGATACAGAAGGCTTCCTCGATACATGGCCGCAACATCTCGAGCATCTGGCTATCATTTCGGTCGTAGCAAATATGATTGAGGATATCCTCGTCGGATACCACGCCCAGCGCTCGGAAAACGATGGCAATTGGCAGATCGGCCTTGACATACGGCAGACTGCAGTGGATAGTCTGGCCGTACCCGCCCTTTGCTGCGTCGCCCTTGCTGTACAGCTTCAGCATCATGGATGAAATGAGTCGAGAGCCCTTCTCGAGGGCGCTGCGGATCTCAGCTGTGTAAGAGTATGGACTCGGCTGTGCCTTTTTGAAGACCTGGACGATGTTGGCGGCCGATCGCTCTTGAGCAATGAGGACCTTTTCACTGCCGTTGATGATGAAGTAGCCTCCTTGGTCGTAAGGACACTCGTTCAGCATAAATAAGTCATCCTCCTGCTCGCTACTCAAGTGGCAAATCTTGGACTTGACCATAATGGGCATACGACCGATGAAAATCATGTCCTTCATGTCGTCGGACTTGTTCTTGTCGGCGCCATAGTCTTCGCCGCTCTCCTCCTCTTCCCACTCCAACTTGGTAGGGTGCTCGCCAGTATTTGCAAGTTCGTCCTGCTGTTCCTCGTCGAGCTCATTCAGCGGAACTGGTTTCTCTACCGCAATCGAGACCTTCTTGGTGATCTTAACGTAGAGGGGACTCGCGTAAGTGAGGTTTCGGTCGCGGCATTCGTATGGGAGTAATGTCGTGACTTTACCATCAGCTTCGGTGATGGATGGACGGGAGACCATGACAGTGCCAAATTTGACTTCGTATCGACGAAGGGCGATGACCTTGTCACTGTCTGACATAGGGTTCGGCTGGTCTAGGGTGATTTGGGAATACTCGTCGATGAGCTCCTGGACGGTTGAAGAGGTGAATTCGTCGAAGGAGTCGACCTGCTGAGAAACCAGACCCTTGGACTCGAAGAAGGAAGAGATGACGGTCCAGCAGTCTTCGGGCGTGATACTGGTGTCGTCTTCTTCGACGTACCCATCGTAGTCGTAGTCATCGTAGTCGGCCATTTCGGAGACGTTGGCACCTGCGCGTGCGATGATGGAAGGCAGACAGGAAACAGGTCGAGTAAGCAGGAGTCGACCTTGCGATTACCTGCAATGGTACGGCTGGTAATCGAGTATGCGAGCGATCGAGGTTCGAGGCAGCGTTCGGCGGGCAAGGAGCGGCGAGTCGCGGTAAGAGTTGGGTTCCGTGGTGATTAACAATCACGACGCAGAACACAGGCGAGTTTGCCTCTTCAGCTCGGTTGGGGCATGAAAAGAGAAGCAAGGCCAGGCGCGAGATTGAAAAACCGACTTGCGCAGCGCGATGCTGATTCAATGTGTGACGAGTGGGTAATGCAATGGTGTGCGGCCGATGCAAATGACCAACCTAGTTGAGTGGTGGTTTTTTCCTCTCTCGAAAATACGATCTCAGAGGCAGCAGGCGCGAGAGACGGGTTTGAGAGGCTCAAGTCAGAACGCGGCAGGGGGGCAAAAGACTAACCCCTTTTGGAATTAGTGCGTCTTTCCACACTCGTGTGGTATGCCTTAGGTAACTGCTTAAGGTATCCATCCGTACCTACGGTTTACGGATTACCTGGCAGGAGCCCCACAACAGCTCCTTCCGTAGGTATCAAGTGGCGGAGGCTAGAAGATGTTTCCCTCTCACCTGTCATGGCAGGGACACCAACAGGGCTGATATGGGACACTTCAGTCTGATAGGTAGGCACATGAGACAAATATTCATGAAGGAGCGGGTCCGCACAAACAACTTGCCATCAGTCAATATGGCGGCCAAAGGCTAATATCCAGATTCACTTGATAACCGTCACCCGGCCACCGAAGCATGCAACCAGCAAACATGAAGACCACTCTAGTTATGAACTAAGTAGGCCGTCAGTACGGGTGTCACAAAGTATCAAGGAGTCAATTGCTGTTCATCTAATAGCTATAGACTGACTTCCCAAAGGTCTCTAGACACGCTTCGAGCAATGTGTTGCGCGTTGGGTTTCACGCCAGTAGCGCAGACATCTACATCTATCCAGCAACACTGATATCTGCATCAGTAATGGCAGATGCCACCGAAGTCGTCGTCGATGGTCCAGGATCCCGCCAAGCCTCCGACTCCAACTTCAACGCTGTGGCTAGGCTGGTCTGGTTTACCCAAGAAGAAATCGCCGCTGCCCTCAGACTTGACAGTTCTGCGCATGAAGCGACGGGTCCACTCTTCGATTGCCGGCTCACCGGTCTCATCGCGCGCCTGTTTCAAGAACGGGATGAGAGCAGTACCACCTGTACCCTTCAAGTTCTTCTTGCCGTCGGCAGCCGGCAAGTTGTTACCCTGGGCGTTGGACTGGCGTTGGCGCGAAGCCGTAGCCAAATTGACACGCAAGCGCGCAGCCTCAGGACTTCTCGACCTGCTGCGGGCACGCACCTCGCGCGAGGGGAGGATGATGTAGCGGGTGACGATGGCTATGTGCTTATCGCGGAATGCACTGAGCATGGCGAGACAGGCATCATAGGCAAGGCACAAATCGCGTTCGTGCTTATGAGTCTCGACAAACTCGCGGATGTTAGCAACGCCAGAGACATCCTTGAGGAAGCGAGCATGGGGTCCAGGCATGTACCGGCGCATCTCCATGATGAAGTTGTGCTTCGGAACCGGAGCCCGAGATTCGCGCTCCGACTCAGTTGAGGGATCCCGCTTCTCGCCTGTCGGACGGTGATCAATGCCAAGGATGACATCGAAAAATTGTATCAGACTGCTCTGAGCATTGCTACCGCCGCTGTACTGGCGGTAGTCCTCCTTTCCGGAACCATTGTCATAGTTGACCCCGTCAGGGAGACCGGCCTCAGCCATGTTCTTGCTCCCAGCAAGAAAGGTGCGGATGCGATTGTAGAAGATGTTGGGATCACAACTCTCGTGCATGCGCTGCAAGATGATGGTCAGATCAGTCAGACGCTCGGCAAAGGTGCGCAAGCTCCGGGTGACGGTTGAGACATCTCCTTGGCGAGCAGCAGCAACAGCGCCCAGCATGAGGGGGATGATGGGACCGCCACGGGCCTCAATAGCAACAGAGACGAGGTAGAACCATGACTCGTCAAGAGAACCAGTAAAGGTGTTGAGGGTAGCGAGGTTCTCGAGGTTGTCAATGTCCTCGTCGACAAAAAGAGGCTTGAAGTTCCAAAGACACAATGCGGCGTATGTAGCGACCGGGGGCAGCTCGAGATGATCCGAGACCTTCAGGAAGGGAACGGTGATAGAGGGCGGTAGCTGATCGCAGGGCTCATCGCCGCCCCAGATGTAGGCATGAGCCATGAAAGACAGCAAAGAGTAGGCTCTCCGCCATTCTGCGTCGTGTTCCAGACCGATGGTGGAGAGAACAGGCAAACGGTCGACAACCGGACGAAGGCGGCGGCTGAGAACGAGTGCCTGTAGATTGGCGACAATGGCCTCCCACTTGTTATAGTAGGGATCCGGCAATCGCGTCAAGGGGAGAACGTCCGGCAGGAATCCGTGGGTTGCAGAGATTCCATAGTCGGAGAGCTCGGGAATGGGAGGTAGCATAGTTGAATGTTGCCTAAGTTTATGTCTTGGGTTTGCCTCTGCTGCAAGTAAAATGTGTTTCCGAGTGTGGTCGAGCGAGTTGCTGAAAGTTCAGAAGTGTCAAGAGATTCGTAATGCTCCAATAGATGGTTGCGATTCTGAGAGTTGTGAATGCGGTTCAGTGAGGTAGTAGACAGTGTTCAAAAAGGTCCTGACGCAAGGAGTATCCAGAATTTGCTGGAATACTCCTCAGCCGTGCGAAAGATCCTTGGAACAGCAAGCATTCAACGTAATGTGAGAGCTGAGCGGAAACACTTCCAAGTTGTTGTTAGTTTCCAAAAACCAATGTCGACCGTGAAAAGAAACAAGAGTTGTAGGTCCCTTCAGCGGGAGGGGTGTGTGAGTGTGCCTGTGGTTTTATTTAATGCGCGCACCAGTCCCCATCGGCTATGTGGGATTGGACAGGCGAAATGGGTTCCAGGGTCTCCCCCCGAGACAATTTTTCTTCTTTGCAGGTGAAGAAATGTGTCGGCGGAGAGTACTGATGCCAGACTAGGGAACTATGGTGCTCTGTTAGTACCTCAGAGTCAAGTGTTTGTGCCGCCTCCTTGGGGCGGTTAAAGCGCCCAATGCGAAACATGATCGGTACATGTAATGGGTTAGCGGGGCACGTACCCCGAGCAAGTGGCACCATATGAGTGAAGATGACATCCAATGATTCAATACCTTCAAAATGATTGTGGCGCCACCAAGCCGATGTATCGACGAAGTAAAGCATCCGGTAAGCCGAAGACAATTGTCGGGATTTATCGTAACAACGTGATTGTATTGAGGCTGAGATGCTACCTACCATAGTCCACGGCTTCTTGACATACCTAGGCAGGTAGGTGGCTTTGGAGCGTTAGGTTGACAAAGCAAGCAAGACCAGGAGGAACCCAAGATTACAAAGCGTGCCAAAAAACGAATGTCAAAAGGAACTGGAGCTGGACCCGACCAACCCGAAACATGTCAGGCAAGCAAGTTGCCAGCATTGGATTACCTACGGGCCCGCTCCGTGCTCGGCCAGGTTTTCATGCCAACTTTAACACCATAGAAACAATTGAGAACATCAACGGCCGTGTGGATCCGATGCCGGCGACCATCGGCCATCGATCAGAAAGTTACGCCGCGACGTGGAAAATGGAATGCTCTTCAGATTTGCCTTACTGCTTCTTGCCGTCATCAACTCAACTCACTATCTTGATGTTGATAATCAGGGCTCTTGTACAAACCCTGACACCTTGCGCTTCTACTCCAAGGCACGCACGGCGCAGCCGTGTATCTCTTAAATGACCCCAAAGGAAAGGAAGCAAACATATATGATGACATGTTTCCCGACTCAAGCATTTCGGATTGCCTGGCTGTAATGAAGATGATGGAACATGATGATGATTAACCATTAGTATTTGAGTCTACTGATGAATGGCGACTTCTTAACCATGCCTACCTTACTTAGTCATCTCCAGGATCGGTCACCAGGATGAGTGCCTTTTAATAGTTACCACAAGGTACGGAGCAATGTAGGTGCAATGGAATTTGACTCCGGCGGCGGGGAGACCTTCACAGCGGCCCCACCTTTTCCACCCAAGCTTAGGTGCGTCATCTCAGGTCTGCCATCCACCACCGGCGCCCAACCCCCGATGTCCGAACTATGTACCTACCTCCACTAGTTACGATTCCACCATTGCAAGTTGTCCGCGAAATCTACCACCGGCGCCGTCCGCTTCCGCCGTCCGACGTCTCTCGTTACCGAGCGCCTAATCGATTGTGCCGATTCTTACTTCGGACCTTTGCTAAACACCGCCGTAGCATCATACCCTGCTCTACTCCTAGGGTCCCCGGCATGCACTTATGAGTTGAATCCGCGTCGCTGTTCCCCCGCTCGCAGCTCGCGCATCCGCTTTCACCTCCACTCGCCTCCTGCCCGAGCTCCGTATCGGCTCCCCCGTGCCGGAGCTCTCGCCCCGTCTCTGCGATGCCAGTGCCGCAGCACGTCCTGAACTGGCTTTACAGTATCTTGACAAGCGTATGTTATCTTCAACTCTTGGCCCTGTAGTGCTTGACTGATGCGCAACCCTCTCTCAGGAATACCACGATGTGAACCGCACCTACAACGATGTAGCCCAGGCGCTGTCCCACTACCCATCTCTGTCACCGCGCACCGACGTTCACAGTATGGTTCCTCGATCGCAACCATAAGTCCTTGATGAATGCGTGCTGATACCGTTCACAGCTTACGATAATGGCTCGTCAGCCCTTCTTCTCCGCCTATCTGGCACTATACCCGTCATATTCAGAGGCACCACATACCGCTTCCCTATATCCGTCTGGGTTCCTCATGCCTACCCAAGAGAAGCTCCGTTGGTCTATGTCACTCCAACAGAGTCCATGATGGTGCGCCCTGGTCAGCATGTAGATCCTCAGGGTCAGGTCTATCACCCATATCTCGTAGGCTGGGCCGCCTTCTGGGATGTATGTCTTCATTCTCTTCTTCCCTAGCCCTGAGCTGTGAGAGTTTTTCCACTCGTTCTAATGGCTAGCCTGCTAGAAATCCACGATTCTCGACTTTCTGGCCATCTTGAGAGATGTCTTCGCCAAGGAGCCACCAGTCATTGCTCGGCCGCAAGGCTCACAGCAACCACCACCCCCCGCGGCATCACGCCCACCGCAGTCCCACGCCCAAACACCACCCCCTATCCCGCCTCTTCCACATGAGTTGGCAGCTCGTCCGTCAAGCCGCCCACCTACGCAAACGCCTACAGATGCATCGCGGCCTCCGCCTCCGCCGCCCAAAACATCAGGCACTGAACCATACAGAAGCCCGCCACCGCCAATAGATGCCAGACACGGCCCCCCTCTCCCACCTCTACCCTCTGGCGCCGCTCGTCAAAGCATCCATGGAGACCTCAATACCCAAGTGTCGAATCGTCCACAAAGCCAAGCGACCTCTCGTTACGACTCAGCACCGCCGCTACCACCCGTGCCATCCTCTCATCCACAGCCGCCGCCCCCCGTCTCGTCTCCACACCATACTGGAGAGACTGCACAACAACAGCAATTCCATGCGGGACATCCTCCTCAATCTGTTACTCCCCGTCATTCGGCCGTCCTTCCGCCTTTCCAGCAACCGCCTCAACAATATGGAGGACCACCTCCAGGTTGGCAACCGGCCGGGCAGTATCAAGGACCACCGCCGCCGCATCAACTACAGCAGCACCCGCCGCCACAACAGCAGGTTGCAAAGCCTGTGCCGCCGCCAGATTTGCTCGATGAACCTCTCACACTAAGCATACCTTCGCCATCGTCCGTTCCCGCGCCGCCGATTCCTCCGAACCCGGAAAAGGACGCTTTACTTCACCAACTGGCACAAACGCTTCACTCCCTTCGCCAACGTAGCAGACAGCAGAATGACTCCAGCATGGCAGGCTTGCAGGCGCAACGTACAGCTATGATATCTGCCTTCTCGACACTTCAGTCGGAGATGGGGACACTTAATCAAACGTCAGGGTTGCTTCAGTCCAACGCTAATATTCTGGTCGACGCGCTGCGAAAGGCCGACTCTGTTATAGAGGGATCAACACGGCAAACTGCGCCTGACATTGACGAGCTTCTGGTAGCGCCCACAGTCGTCGCTAACCAGTTATACGCTTTGGTGGCCGAAGAGAAGGCCATTGGGGACACCATTTTTGTCTTGGGCCGAGCCGTGGAACGCGGAAGGATATCACCCGCAGTATTTGCTAAGACGACTCGTTCCCTTGCTCGGGAGTGGTATCTCAAGAAAGCTCTGGTTCGCAAAATTGGAAAGGGGATGGGGCTAACAGCCTAGTCGAGTAGAATCGTAACGCTCTAATATTATGAGGTTTCAGTACACTAAGTACTTTGGCAGACCAAGATTTCATTGAGACTATTCTTTATGTGCCCGGTGATCCCTTGGCTGGCCATTTCCCAGCTCTGAACTACATAGCCTTGCGGCCTTCATCCCCCAGGTCTCTCCAGCCGGCACACTACAAACGATAATCTGCTCTATGCTAAGGCATCACTGAAGAACACTACTAGCTAGCCCGTCCGACATTGGATTCCTCGTCTCACTTTGCCGATTGGCAGCTTTGCGCATTTCGCCCAGTCGTAAGGTAGGCAATGGCCGAGTATGGTGCATTCGACATTCGGCACCGGCTGTCATAAGCCTTCTCTCTCGTGGTACGCGCCATCGTCCCCAGCTAACTCCATGAGCATCTCCTGACAGAGCGTCCCACCTGGTCCTCCAAGCTGCCTGAGAGGATGCCGACCCAAGCTGCCACCAATTCGAAGTGCCGACTGGACCAGTGGTACTGAGCGGCAAGGCTCCCTTTTGTTCCTCTGAACACCCGTCAAGATTAGTACCGGTGCTCAGACACTCCCGTGGAATGGCTGACGTGCTCTTTCGAGCTGGGAAGGGGCTGACCCTCGTCGGTGCAGACGCAGACGCAGGCGGGCTTCCAGTGTTGGGCTCATCCGGCGAGCAGTCGGCCAGCTGTGTGTCATCTGGTCGAGCAGTAGTCAGGTAGGATCCTTGCCAGGTACGTTGCTCTTGTGACTTGTCCAGTCTCTGCTTTGTGTGGTCATTCCCGTTTCTCTTGCCCTCTTCTGACCTGCTTTTCTCCCATGATGCGGATATCTTCCGCCATACTTCGCGACCCCGCTTGAATCCCAGGCTTTCAAATCGATTCTCAGCATGACTTTTCGAACCATCTGCCTCGCGCTCTGTTCCAGGAATATTCGATCGTGATGCCGAGATACTTTTATTAGTTGAGGGCCTCGTCTCCGCATCGATCCGGCAAATGGCTTCCAGAGTATTTATTCGATCCTTCAAAGAAGAAGAAGTTGATCCTTTGGGTGCGTGGGCGTCCGCCGTCGCTTGGAAAGAACTGCGTATAGCACCATCCATGGACACTTCACATTGCAGTTGTTGTTCGTGGCCAGACCGAAGGACCGTCTGTGAAGTACTGTGAGTCGACACCTTATCTGTTGGCCCAGTATAACTGCGCCTTTGTCGCGAACCGCTTTTCTGGCCAGCATCGTTCGCGCTTTTGTCGAACAACCTTCTCAGACTTGCCACCTTGTTTTGCGCTGTCACGATAGCAGCATTACCGGATGGCTCAGGTAGCGCTGTCATGGAAGTTGCGTGTCCTGACTGTGGCTCCTCCTGGGATCTATAATATTCCGTTTGTAGAATCGACGGCCTCGTACTCTTCTTGCTTACGGAATTGGAGATATCGGGAGCTACCTGGCTCGTTGACCGGTCTGGTGCTTTGAGACTTTCGTGTCCCGATTCTGAGGTTGAAGCTTCTCGTGAATGGAGGACATCCATGGCTCGGGGCCAAAGCCCGAAGAGCTTCCCTCTACCTCTCTGTCCTCTGGTGCCAGTGATGATTCTTTGGCCAGCGCTATATCCAAGGCTCTTTGATATGCTCCGGGTCCAAGTTTTTTCCACTGCCGCTTTCGTTTGGTCACCGTCGTTGACAGGCCTTGGGTCAAAAGGTGGCTCTGCTCGAGGGCTATCTTGAGTTGCTTCGATGTCGTTCGGCCTCTTCTTCCAGGTCTTGGTCCGGGGAAGTGTACAATATGGTGTCGTTGTTTGTGGCGTGAAACTGTTGTTGCTGAAAGGTGGCAACGGTAGGCTTACCGATTTCCCAGACATAGCACTAACGCCGCCTGCACACATTATCAGCATCCCGGGCAGACCAACATCACTCCGGGGGTCATACTTACCCATTGGAGCTTCGAACATTTGTCGTCTTTCAGCTACAAGACTTTTCTGTCTTCCATCGGCCGATCTTCCAGCTTTGTTGGGCCGCCTCTCTCCAGTGAATGGATCGAAAACGTAGGTTGTGGGTTCTACAGCTGGCTGTATTCCAGTCTCTGAATAACTCTGGGATCCGCGTAACGAAATTTTATGGAGTGAGGTTTGGCTCAAGCTTGGGGTCGACTGCCGTTCAATAACGTCGTCATGAACCAGTCGAGAAGGAGGTTCCTTTGCAAGGCCAGATTTGACACATACACCTAGATCCTTACGTACGGTGCTGTTGTTGGCCGGCGAACAAGGCACTTCTATGTTCGATGTTCCATGGCCAGTCGTAGCTTGTGTCTCAAGATCGGTCATGACATCGAGTATCTCGAATTTTGATACGATGGCAGCCAGGGGCGGGTTCTTCAGCTGTGTTGGATGATTAGACAGTTGACCGGTGGCTCGTTCAGTCGGAGTGGAGTCATCGGTGTGTGTTGCGTTCTTGATGGAGCTTGCACCTAGTTGCAGTGAAACATCTGGAATTTCATCTGTCTCTTTGGTCTTTGGGGAGAGTCGAAGAGGTGCGGGCTTCATGTCGTCTCGTACAAAGTCCCTTGGCGGCGAGTATCGTGCCTGAGTAGGTGACACCGGCAGATGGCTCTCCATCGGAGCGCGTTTGTGAGGAGGACGACGGCGATTTGTGCAGCACAGAACAACAAGGCAATATTCTCACCACATAAGGGGCAAGAAATTGTGTAATTTGGTACGGAGAAGATTGTGTTGGAAGCAAAATCAAAGAATTGGATGTTGGAGCGACAGCATTCAGACGCTGGATACGTCCTTTCGTCCACGTACTTGCTCTGGCGGAATATACGCTCCCTGGCTATGTGTATCGGTAGACTCCTTCTTCCTACGACATAATATCCAAGTCTGATATGAGGCAGGAGGACCTTGGATTTCCTACAGTCTTCTCATGTTTCCTTCCTTGGATGATATAACCGCGCCTTCCATTCGACTCGGGTAGTGCGAATCAGATCGGAAGGTGCCTTATGTAAGCTTGAGAGCTTCTTACGAGGCCACATAATTAGATAACTATGACTGTTTTAGGGATTTGGCGGGGACATTGGGCGTATGGAAGGCGTTGTTATCCAGAGGTGCTTGAAGCTTCTTGGTCCTTTGGGTATCACTCGGTGATGAGGCGGACAGAAGCAAATAAGTTTGGCTCCGACACAGACCCAGCTCACATCTTTGAAGTGCCATACAAGCAATTCAATAAGTCAAGAACACTCTGCATGTTACCTGCATACGACGTGGAGGCGTCTTCTGGGGTCAAGGGGGCGTAGCTCAGAACAAGCCTGGGCCCTAGCTGGGCATGACCTCATTCTCTGTGATGAGACGATTATGGATGTAATTGCAATGCCACAAGTGAGGTATAAAGCAACTGAAAGGTGGGCATTGAGCGGGAGCCGAATTCAGGTGGCCCTAGTAAGGCAAGCCCACGTATTCCATGCGCCTTTTTTTTGCCAAGACAGACACCACATAAGCTTATCGTCTGGCTGAGACGCGCTCTTCACAGAATTCCACCTTTCGGTTCACTCTGATGAATCCCTTCTCAAGATAGTCTCCGTCGATTCGTTGCAACTCGATGTCGATCAAATCAATGCCGCCAGTCTGATCGCGTTGGCGGGGAAGACTGGACTCTATGTGCGATGTAACGGCACCGTCCACATTCCCATATAGATGAGGCCGTAATCCAATGGTTGGAGATGCCTTGGGAGGTGTATCCGAATTTATCATACATAATCTTGGCTGCGGTTTTCCTCGTGACGTATTGGCTGAGACGCGGGAAGCGATCAAGGTTCCTAGAGGTAGAAAAACGACGACCGACGTGTAAGTCAACGAGCCTAATTCGAGGGTTGACCAGGAGCCCCAATTCATGGCAGCGAAGACGACTACGTGGGGACCAAATCAGATCAGCAGGAATTTGCGAGCAAAGTGTTGCACGGGTCCACAAACCGGGTATGACCATCAGAATTCCATTCGTAATGATTAGTACTTCCATTGCATTTAGTCGTTGCCGCCTTGGGAGAATGCCCCGGTTCTTTACAAGGTGTATGAGAAGCTTGATATTGAACAGTGCGCAGTAGTATGCAATAGAGATTGCTCCGACAACGCCGCTACCTTGAGCTACCCATATGGCATGTGCGGGCGACAGCATAAGGATAGCATTGATCTGGATGATGCAGAGCCCGAGACGTAGTCCTATGGCAGATGCTGACACAAAGCAAGACAGCACAACAACGCCCCCTTTCCAGGGCCTCGGCAACAGCTTAACAAGAGCCCACGCCTGTATTCCCAATGACACCTGGACAAGTATGTGCAAGACCAGCGAAGTCGCTTCCGTCGTGATGCTCAGATGGAAGTCAGCTGCAGTGACGCGGGAGTAGTCTGATGCAAAGCGGGTGTAAAAGTTGGTCCAGTTGGGTGATGTAAAGAATAGTACCAGCAGCGTCATGCGGACTGTGTTGACAACTAGAGCAGCAACGTGAACACAGAGGGAAGCCTTGATAAGCCTCATCGAAGGCGTCATGGAAATGACGATCAGTAGCATCATGAAACTTGCACCGATTTGGGAGCTGTAGTTGGCGCATGTGCCAATGTCTTGCTTGTAGAGGCCGTCTATCATCATCGGGCTCACGGCCAAATATGTGTCCTCGGCCGTATTGAGAGACGTCTTTAGTACGAGAATTTGGTCGAAAGGGTTGAATTCAGCCATGCTTTCAGTGCCACTAAAAAAGGTTAATAGTCAGGCCTTTCAGAGATGATGGCAACGTTACTCACAGGTGAGACTGGACCGTCTGGCGCGTTACTCTCCTCCCTACAATGGGTTACAGGTCTTTGAACGCGAGTATACACTCATGTCGCCACATGTGATTCGCACCCTGTAATCTCACGTAGAGTCCCTGGGTATGCCGAGATAGATGATATAACAACAACAAGGTGGGAAGACCTTAGCCGCAAGTGATCAAGAGCGTAAGACAACAGGTCCAAGCGAGGGAAATATAGTAACAGGCCGAATAGCAGCAAGAAGTGGAAAACACTGCTCAAAAAATAGATGGTCGAAGAAGACGGCGACTTTCCCCTTAAGAACTAATCGGCGATATTGCACTTTCAGGGTGAAGGAAGAAAATAGCAGAGGCAATGTTGATATTCATTGCGAAGAAGATTACAAGCAGTGATCAATCGCGTATCACATACCACAAGGCCCGAGAATCTCAGGTTGGAGAAGAATTCGGGCCGCTACACGGCATCCCAAAGTTACAGAGAGGGCCTGTGACAGCTCGCTTTAGCTTGCGTTCACTCGTTTGATCCATTTGAACTCTCGCGGCCCGTGTCTTAGCTAGTCAAACAAATCAACTGGACCGAAAGACATGAGCGGCCCGGGTTGTTATTCAATCTTCGGGTAGAGGGCGATTCTCCCGTTTGACAAAAAGAGCGACGAGCCATGTTCCCTTGTAGCCCCTGCTCGAATCAGGAAAGAGTATCTACGTATTGTGACACAACTTGGTCGTTGGTCTGACGTCTAGCCAAGGCGATCATGGCAGTTTCAAAAGCAATTAAATACCAGAGTCAGCCTGCCATCATAGTTTCCAGGTAGGGGCTGAAACCAGGAGATCGACCTGATAATCTCAGCCCCCACCGACGCAACGGGTGAATACACCCCCACCCTCTGACAGCACATTAGGTTGGCGCTCGCTGACGACTAAGTCATCGAGCACACATAATGGCTTGACTTTGCTTTGTCAGTTACAGCGAACCGCGAGCTGGAAGTACCCATAGAAAACCGAAACGAGTCGGCCTCGTGATCTGACTTGAGGAGCCGCGAGTTGTATGCAGTCACGTAGTCCATTTAAGCGTTCGCCGTTCACCATATCCATTACTTTGGCTAGTCGAGTGGGATGGCGCGGTGTTGACGGATGAGGCGCAAGGGGGAGGCAAGAATCTTCAAGCTCAAGTCTCACCGTCAGGTCCGTGAGTCAAAGGAGAGGCCCAAAGTTTGCAAGACAGGTGGGAGAGTTGGCAAACGCCCACCGCACTTGGTATCTGCCTCCGTCCCTGAGATCCACTTACGTCTCCGACTCGGCCGGCCGCTGGTTCCATTTCCCCACTTCCGGTGCGGAGGCACAGCTTGAACACCCCGGCGCAACGGGTCTCTACCCAATCGTCGGGTTATCGGGCAAAATAATGAGACCAAAAAACTGTGCTCACCTGACTAAAAGTACGATGGTTGTTTTGGCACATTTCTGTCTCAGGAATTCCCAACTTGGTCGGGTGGTCGGTCATGTCAGGCTTTCACGCTATGAAATAGGAAATGATAGATCCGAAAACATTCCTCAGCCGTCAGGAATTCCGGGAACAGGTGACAGACAGGCTGAGCGGGTCAACCTGGTCTAAGCTGAGACAAGGAGACAACGTATTGAGGCCCGTAGGATCAATCTCTCAAGGCGAGGATTGTGAGAGCCTGGCCCTCTTAATGTCTCTCGTTGACGTTTTAGTGTCTTCCCAGCTTGGCACTCGGCCGTCCAACATCCCTTTCTTTCCAGTTCTTCGTTAGCCTACTCTAATCCACCTTGCTTGCCTACACCCACATTTCGTCCGCGCTCCGTGAGTCCGTTTGAGTCTTGAAAAGCCGATTCTAAGACCAATCCGGCAGCTCACGGCGCAGTGGCTTACAAACACGATCCGCCTTCCGCCTTCCGCCCGAAAGCTCGCCAGACGGCGGATGCTTGCATAGCTAGTGAGGGGCATTTTCTGACGAGACGGACCCTGTAATAATCAGATTCCACGTGTCTAAGACAATTTGTCCCGAAGCTTCGAGCTTGTCTCCTTGATGTCTCCTCTCGGGATTTTCTCGTTCACCACGACCTAAAGCAGCGACCTCGCTGTGTAAGATCTCGACCTGCGTCAGATTCGCGACGCCTTGTCTTTGAGATCTTTCTCTTGGCTCAACCAGCTCAATGGGTGAACCAGAGACAACTGCGGTAATGTCTGACACGGAGGCTAAACTCGAGCGGAACGATTGAGCGGAATACCCTTCTTTTCTGGATCACAACCTTCACCGGTAAGCGTTACTTACGACCACCTCTCCCTTCTGACCGAAGCGCGGAGCCATCTCCGACCAACGCCGCCGTAGAGCTGAGCAGAGCTTCGCCAATTCTCGACGCCATCTTAGCTCTTTGGCGAAGTTAAGCACGCATTTAGATTAGGCTCAGCCAACTCGTCATGTTCCTCCACTCACGGGTCTCCTCCTTGTTTCCCCCGTAGCTCAGATTCGAGATAATGGCTTGTCTGCGTCTATTGTCACGGCCGCATTGATGGGAAGCCTCCTCCGCCTCCCGGTCTGGGTCCTACTTCTGACCTTGTGATGTGGGTGGGGGTTTGGAATTGGGCTTTGAAGGTGAATGATAAAAGATCACCGCGGCCTGCTTCACCTTGCCCTCCTCTCCTAGCCTTGTCGCCATTGCTTCTTCTCACGTACGCCTGCGTACCTGGCTTTTCAGCTCTTCCCTTGGAGCTATTAGCTTTCGGTCTATCCTCAAGCCCCCACTCCAACTTTCGCTGGGTGAACTTTGATCTCTGGCAAAAATTCCGCGACATTGTCAGCCGCTTTGATCAAATTTTTGGGTGGCCTGGGTCGCTCCCTCTTTTAATTGTACTTTACGTCTCGTCCCTTTCCACGGCGGTTCATCAGTTTTCAGTCACAACTCCCATCGTTGCCCAACATGAGAGTAAGCAGACAACTTCTCGTTGGGCTGTGGGCAAGCAGCAAAGCGGCTGCTTTTTTCATCATGCCCTGCTCAAAACCGGTAGTTACCGAGCGCGCCGATCCAATTGTCAACCCGGGAGCTCTTTCTGGGCATGTTCACACCATCATGGGTGGTAATGGCTTTGACTTCAGTATGACCTATGAGCAGGCTCGCGCTGCTACTTGCTCAACATGCAAGGTGACTGCCGATCTGAGCAATTACTGGACTCCAACCCTCTACTACCAGGGCCAGGACGGCAAATTCATGAGTGTTTCCCAGTCAGGGGGCATGCTTGCCTACTATTTGTAAGTAACGATGCAGGATTGAAAAAGAAACCGGAGAACTGACCAATATTCCAGGTTCCGCCAGGACGCCAAGGACCCGGAATATAGCAAAGGGCTCATCGCGTATCCCAGGGGCTTTCGGATGCTAGCAGGTGATCCAAAGCTTCGAAGCTACAACAACACCCTTGAGCAGCGGGCCATCTCCTACGTGTGCTTGGGCAACAGCGGCCCTGCGACCAGCGAGCTTCCCAATCGCAATTGTCCGAATGGCCTCCGTCTCCAGATAATCTTCCCTGCCTGCTGGGACGGTGTCAATCTCGATTCACCCGACCACAAAAGTCATATGGCGTACCCGGATCGCCTTGACAACGGGAAATGTCCTACAACTCACCCCAAGAGATTTGTTACGTGAGACAACCTCAAAGAACTCGTCAACACAAGGTGCTAATCTTTCTGCCAGTCTGTTTTACGAAGTGACATTCAGCGTCAATGATTTCAAGGACAAGTGGTACGGAGATAAGCAACCGTTTGTATTGTCTAACGGGTCAGTACCTCACCTTCATTTTCGTAGCAAGGAAATCTGCTCACATTATCTAGCGATCCGACTGGATATGGCTTGCACGGCGATTTCATCAATGGGTGGGACGTCAACGTACTCCAAGCGGCTATCACACAATGCACCGACAACGGTGGTAGCATTGAGAAGTGCCCAGTTTTCCAGTTTTTTGATGACGAGACACGAAGGAATTGCCAAGTTCCCGTCAAAGTTGATGAACAAGTCCAGGGCCAGTTTGACAAGTTGCCTGGTTGCAACAGCGTTCAACGAGGCCCGGGCAACGCTGTGGCAGAATCAGGCTGCGGTGCAGCGACTCAGATTTCGGCACCCAAATATGGTTACAAGGACGTAACAAGCACTCTCAAGTACAAGTATCTAGGTTGTGGCCGCGATCCCGCTGGACAGACTAGGACTCTTCAGGGCGCCAAGACGTCCAGTGATAGCATGATGGCTGACACGTGCATCAAGTACTGTGACGGAAAGGGCTTTCAGTATGCCGGCCTGGAATATGCGAAGGAATGCTGGTGCGGTAACTCGGTAGCTGATGATCGGAAGCCCAAAAAGGGGCTCTGGGGAGCTTGCGATATGCCTTGTGGGGGTAGCAAGACGGAGATGTGTGGCGGCTGGGCTGCGATGTCTCTCTATCAGAAGTGCAACGGGACTTGCACAAACGCGGAGTTGATGTGATGAGAGGTGATCGGTAGAGCCGAGGGAGATTTACTGCGTAAAGCAGACTTAGTTAATACGGTTACGCACCGCCTAATTGATGGCCTCAACAGCACTCCCTTTCCAGCTTGCCAACTAGCGTTCTAGATAATGTACAGCGAACCAGGCGCACGAGACTTGGGACACCGTTGGAGTAGCCGCCATACATGCTTCCAATCATACATATTCACGGCACAATTGTACGAAAATTGACAGGTCTTGCGTGAGAGTGAGATTCATTAAAGCCAGCCGGTGCAGGCCGTGGCTTTGAGGTCAACACCAGACCACAGATGCCATTCCCCGTAGCCTCGAGGCTACCTTTCTTCAAGTATTGTACAGCCAGCTTCTATTGCGGCAAAAAGGACGTAATTATACATGAGCCGTCATTCGATGATAGAAAGATCTTTATTGACTGCGAAATTGAAGGATTAGCGACCTGGAATAGGAACCGAAGGTATTGGACAGCTTACGGAGGAAGAAGGAATTCGCCCCAGGAGCTGGAGAGGAAAGTCACAGCTGCCTACATTGGACGTTAGCAGAGTTCAATTAACCGATAGTTTGGGAGAGCATGGTGACTTACGCCAAAGATGGCGACGCTGCGAACGATGGGTGCATTCTCAGCGGAAGTCAACGCATCGTATGTTGATCTGAAGTACCCCTTGGGCTGACGAGAGCGCTGGCTGTCTCTCTGGACGACGATTCTCTTGGCAGGCATTTTGACGAGTGGGATCTGAAGACGCTAAGGATGAACGGTTTGCGAGTCGAGCTTGGGGTCGTGATTTACGGCGTTGTCGTTGGAGCAAGGGGCAGATGTGAGGTCGTAAATGCGATCGGTCGGCTCGACTTCGCGCGGAAAGAGTGCAGGGCCGAATTTTTTTGGCTGGACGTCACCCACGCGCAAGCCACATTACGGTGGCTGGTAAGAATAGCTCTTATCGGAGATAAGATAAGGCGGCTGGTGGTGGGACACCCCCTCCTAATTACCTACCTATACCTCACAGGTAGCTTAACGGAGATATCAACCGTCTTGTCGTTCTGCACAACAATACACCACTGCGCCCCGTCGCAAGAACCTTGAAGGGGCAAGAGGCTGTGTAAGAGCGAGGGAATTTCTCTGTGGACGATGCACAAAGCAGCATTGGCTCTGAAGCAACCAGCATCAATACCTATACACAATGGCTGACAATCCACACCCTGCGGCCCCTGGCGGCTTCTTTCCGTCACAGTCTCTCCCTTCACCTGCGCCTAGCAGTGCCTCGGCGCGCTCAAATGCGGCTTTGCCGCATCCCCGTGCCAGATCCCTCCGACCCGGGTCCAACAAGGAAGAGACGGTACGTCGCTACGTTGAGGAACGTCTCGCCATCGTCAATCGTCGTTATGTCAAGAAGCATGGCAATGCCGAGCCCGGCGACGAAGTCATAGGCTACAAGAGCTTTACCGAGCTTTGCAAGGACATACATAACGTCATTGACGTTTTATGGTTGTCCGGAACACGTGAGAATCTTGCCCCTCAAACATCGGCGTTGCTTTAAGTCAAACGCCGATACTGATACTGACTCTGTCTTGCAGCGAGCATACAGATTCCCTTCTTCTTAAATATTGCCAGCGACTTCACGCAATGGATTGACGCCTTCACTCCTGCCCCGAAAGCTACCTTCTCCGTCTTGAAGAAGCTGGACCATTGCTTTGCGAGCCTTTTGACCGGACGTGATATCGAGACTAAAGAAACTTTGCCCGGCTTCGAGAACGGCATGAGAGCTGGTATGTCTACGACGGATATGGTGCGATGCCGCAGCTCGGTGGAACAGACACGACTAGTTATTGTGGAGGTCCTTACCAAGGAGCCTGACGGAGACGACGATATGGAAGACGACGAGACAGATGCGAATAGCGACACTGAACTCGAGGACGCAATGGATACGACGTGGGACGAAGACGAGGACAGTCTTTACATGGACGCAGCGCGAGTCTATGAGCACACTATTGTGCGGCTGGGTGAGAAGCTGGGAGATGTATTTGGACCTGCGGTTCCCGGCGCGAGCAATGATACCATCTGCTCTGCGGGTTGATTACGGCCTATTTGGTCCCGAAGGTCATAACGCGGGCCTCGACTTACATGTCTACCCAGCTAGAGCGAGCAGACCACAGTGTGAGCCTAAACTCCCTACCTAGAAACTGGAGATGGCACGCTGCTCGACATTGGCCAGAAAGAGCCCGGGAATCTACTTCGCCACTCCACTGATCGGTTCATGGAGTTGATCCAACCTAGACACGGCGATGCGATTGGTGAGCAGTATATGATAATGGCGTTGTGGGAACAGCGACTATGAACTGTCAGTTGTTCAGGCACATGACAGTATTGAAGCATACCCAGCACTACGATTGATGTTTCGTTGGTTTACTACGGCATGGGTTGGCTGCACTGTAACGAAATGCCTCATTGTTGTTTCGGGAAGATAGATCGACAAAGCTTTCGTTATAGAAGGCAGCATGAATGATGGAACTACTTTTTCCCAGACGGGCAGCCTGACATATGGAATGGCTATGCGTAGTGTTGTGATGCAATGAATGCGCGCTGATACCCAAAGCCAAGCCCCCTTGCTTGAAACACGTGACAGCTGCAGTGGTTCATCTGAGAATGAGAACGCAGTTCGTTTCCATTGCGGGAGGCTTCAGTTTCATGGATGGGGGGCACCAAAGTCGCACCCGTGGAGGCAACCCTCAACAGCGCTGGATCTCCGTGAAAATGAAATTCTTTGCGGGCGATGATGCGAGCGTGCGATGGCTGGCATTCGCTTATCGTAGAGCTGCACAGCTTATCCATTAGCACGGATATGGATATTCGTCTATTTGTTCAAGGGCCCATCTCGAGGCCTCCTAAGTTTTGGAGTCCTCTTAAGGTGAGACTCCTGAGAAGGAGGAAATCTCCGTCGTCCCAGGTGGACGTGGTCCAACTTGCCAGCGGCGCTGGACCCGTTTGTGGATTTGGGCCGGCGTGTCCCTGTCAAGATACCCTGCCATTTGTTGTCTCAGAGGCATGCATTGCCGGTCCAGCATCTGGGCTGCGCTGCCTGTGCAATCCCGGTGCCTGCACATGAAGAGTGCAGCTTTTGAATATTCAGGGGCACTTGACGATCCCATCTTGGCGAGAATGGCCCGCTTGCCACACCATTGAGCGCAGCCACACACTACGGAGACTGCAGTTGCACAACATGACAACCCACATGCTCACCAATTGGCAGTAATGTGCGGAGTACGGAGTAGACTCAGGCTTCGTTTGGAGAGAGGAGGCAGCCGTGGCACGAGCTTGAAGAAACGCAAGAAGCAAGCCCTCTGCCAGCTACCTTTTTCATATTCGTGCATACCCATCCGTACCTTCTTCACCTTTGTAAGGGACGAATGCCTTCCTCACACAAGATGCCTCCAGAGTAGGTACACTACGGATGGTAACTGCACATCCAATGGACGGAAATCACGGCTCTCGTTACCCCCACGTCCGAAACCCCTAGTCCTCGACTCCTCCCCTTTCGAGGCTCTTTCTGGTCGACACCCCGGCACCTCTAGGCTCTGGACAAATGTCCCGAGTCCACCTCCTTTTCAGAGTTTTGGTCCTTCCCGACTGGACGAGTAGCTACGTTTTTTGGCCGCATTGTGGATCTGGTGCCCAAATTGAAAGGTTATGCAACTGATGCCGTCCAGATGAACCGCCAATGACGTCCGTTGGCCAGTGCAGTATCGGTCGTCGATCCTTGGCTCGGATGCGCCGCCAACGGGCCCCGTCCCTTTTTTTGACTACTCGCAAAGTCCCGTTCTCTCCCATACCAATATCACGTCTGCATAAGACTCTGTATTCGTACCTCAGCCTCTTTGCTTGTCCCCACAGCATTCCATATGTACGGATATGGGTGGATGAATGGAGATCGTTGACGAGGACAGACATCTCCGGAGGAGTCGATTCTCAAAGATCCAACCCTGTTGCCCCATTCTCTGTTCAGCTCTGTCAGCTCTGGCTCGCTCTCACGGTTCACCATACAAAGTACCTGCCGGCTTATCCTTGGCCTCAGTCAACTTCCTTGTCAACATCTTGGTCTCAATCTTGGTCGGCCCCTATTATCTCTGGCGGCTGTCGTCTTGTCCGACGCAGATCAGGACTCCCTAGTCGTGCCCATTGGCCACGCCCACTACCCGTCATGAACTCCTCTCCCCAGTCACCTTTATCCCTATGGATACTTGCTAAGTTGGTATACTGAGAATAACCCCCTGCCTTTTCTGCCATGTATCCATATTTACCTTGTTGCCCTAATGTACCATCCACTACCAACCACAACCTGTCCGCGCCTTTTCTCAGCCATTCTTGGCTCTCCTGTTGTACTGCAACCTGAGCGAGAGCCGACCCAAAAAGACTCTGCCGAGTTGCGAAGTAGGCAGGCCATTGTCATCGCCACACTGGGTATTCCTGGCCGCTTCTGGGCGTTTCATCTTTACTCCCCACGCCAATTTCCTTCTCTGCCTTACCGCCTCTGGACCACTACCCTAATCCAACCATTTGCGATAACAAGGGCATGGCATAAGCTCCTCCTTGCCCATTGCAGCTCGTCGCCTGCTCTCGGCATAGTATCCTTGTCGTCCTGCTCCCTTGTCCCAGCACAAGGTTGTTCCTCCCGATGTGCGTTGGCCAGACCGTCCCATGCAAGAACTTCTCCTGGCCGTATATATAGAGGCGACCCAGCCTCGCTGCCCGTTGGCCTCTATGTGCTTTTACCGCCTCTCTCGTTCTCTACCGCACCCACTTTCACTCACTAGGCCAAGTGCCGTTACATTCCTTTCTTGGTGATTACATTAACTTGAATATCATCGTCCATTCACTTTCATCCCCTGAACGCTCGCAAGTAGACGAGATAAAATCCACGGGCTTCAATATCAATCCATTCATTCAGTATACTATCAGATCAGAGACAGGTGCCAGCCAGTAACAAAAATAACACACACAACATGCTTTCCAAATACGCCCAGCTTCTCTTCGCTCTCACGCCGTTCGCCGGTGCTCTCGTGCCCCCAGCTCAAGATGGCATGAGAATCATCTGGTCCGAGACTTTCCAAGGAAACGCCGGCTCACCCCCTCGAAGTGACACATGGAACATCGCCTTGGCTATCGACACGAACAACGAGGTCCAGACTTACACCGAATCATCCTGGAATGTCCAAATATCAGGAGGTGAAACCATCCAGCTCATTCCCCGGAAATCAGCAAGCGGCGTCTGGACATCTGCGCGTATCGAGACAAAGGCAGCATGGACACCTCAGCCGGGAGGAAAGATGCGGGTTCAGTCAATGTTCAGAATGGGCGACGCCGCCAACAAGCAGGGCATGTGGCCCGCCTTTTGGATGCTGGGCGATGCCGTTCGCAACGGAGTTCAGTGGCCCCTCTGCGGTGAGCTCGACATCTTTGAGCAGATCAACGGCCAGGCTACCGCCACTGGTACCGTTCACTGCCAACAAGAATCCGGCGGCATCTGCAACGAGCCCAGCGGCCGTGGCGTGGCTACTTCGATGCCCGACAACGGTTGGCACACGTGGGCACTGGAGTGGGACCGCACATCCAACAACTGGGTCACTGAGACCATCACATGGTACCGCGACGGTGTTGTCTTCAACCAGCTCAAGGGCAGTGATATCGGGGACGAGGGTATCTGGGCGACTCTCTGCCACATGCCTTACTATGTGCTCATGAATGTGGCAGTTGGTAAGTTTCTAGTTCTTGCTACTGCGGTTGGCCGCATGATGTACATGAGGATGCTAACCTGCTTCAGGCGGCACGTTGCCTGGTTCTCCTACCGACGCTACTCAAGATGGCTACGCAAGCATGATGGAGGTCGGATATCTCACCGTCTACCAGTCCCCTTGAGCGCAGCTACCTCTAATGGCTGTATTCGTAATGAGCTCGACTCTCGCGGACACCACCCTCACGTTTCTCCGTCATGCTAATAAACTCCACCCGTCACACAGCGACCCCGGATTTGACGTCCGTATTCACACATTCAAAACGCACATGGCTCTTTTGGCATATTCCTCTTTTCATGAGACAGGATCATTCTTGCTCCCTTAGTATATACCCCTTTTTGGAAAGCGATATATAGCGGCTGCCTTTACACTCATACGTTCTGCCCCCCCTTGTTGCAGCTGTTCTTAAACCTGCGGATCTGAATAGTTGCGGAGGGAGGGCGACTTCTCAGGTCTTACCACCTATATAGTAGTCAATGTTGAAATCCAGCACGGGGATTCTTCCCCAGTGTCCGAATCTCTAAGATATAACAACCACTTTGATGACATTCATGGGAGCGAACATCAGAGACCCCTTACCCGTGGAATCCACGTCATTTTGCACGTAGAGCGGTTTTGTCATGTCAACCATAAATATACGTAGTAAACCGCAGAGACTCCATTCCATTCCGAATCGGCCTCTTCTAATCACATTCGATATTCTCCAGCTCCTCATGGCAGCACATATACAATGGCCTACCTAGCAACCCACCTTTCCCATAAGGCTACCGCGTATCCATACTGCGGAGAACGCATCCTTAGATCTTAGATCTTGGATCGGAGTGAAGAGGATAAAGAAGCTCACTGCTAGTTTCTAGACTTCCCCGCGGGTTAGCCCGGCGTCGGTCGATCATCCCGGGGATTGACCGGACCCCCCCCCCCCAATTCGCAGATCGACAACCGTTCCGTCCGCCGCGTCCGGCCACCGGCGCTTATTAAGAAAAGTCCCCGCCCACCGTATAATTCCCCGAGATTACCAGTCGCGCATCGGCCAAAATGTTAATGCCCGACTCGTAGATCACGGCCACGCTTTAAAGCTCGACGCGGACCGGCCGGTGCGGGGATTCCCTTTGCCGATGACTTACAGCTCAGGGAAGATGATAGTCCGAACCGGGCCTCTCTGAGCTGCGCGACCGAAACGTCAAGGCCTTGGGAGTACCGATACACTCGCGTAACCTCGGTCACAGTAAGATGGGCTCTAGCTATCGTGGGTGGCACACGCCACAGAAGAGACGACGGAAGCTTCCGCGCACATCAAGAATTGCCTTTTCCTTCGCCTATGATCATGCTTCGGTAGTCGGAGAAGATACCCTCGCTTTGATCAACGCGATCACTGACGAACAATTCACAGGGGTGCCAAACGGGAACTTTTATACTTGATGGCATTCAGGATATGAAAAAAGATGGATTGATCCTCGTAAACCAATACCGCACCGCGCCACAGTATAATCTGACAGGACCCAGGGTAAACGACGATGGCAGGACGACGCTGGTGATCGAACGTGTCCTTGACCTTCTAGTAAATACAATGCTCTCAACTCAACCCACAACCGATACAACTACCCCCTTTTGGACTCTCTTGTCACCTCTTTTGCAAATCAACACTGATGGGTCCGCCAAACGAAACCGGGCTCTGCATTCGCACATCGTATGCCACGTACAATCAATGATTACGCCCACTGGTTCGATAGGAAAGGCACCCGACAAAACTTTGCGAACCCTGCCAGTAGAACTCCAGAACCAATGATCAAGAACCCTCGCAAGCGGTCCGTCCACCAACGACCGACTTGGAGGAAAGTAACGTGAAGTTTGTATGCGTGTTACCCCAGGCACATGCACGCAGGGGAATTAAATCGCCGTCGAAAACGAGGCTGTACTGAAAGGCGAAATGACTCATTGGAGTATGCCGCTAAATGAGGCAATCCGCAAAGTGTATGCCTCACACAACATCGTCCAAAGGTGATTGGTAAATCAAAGCATAGGAAATAGGAAAGTGACAGGCTCGATGAGGCGGCGAGAGTTAAGCCCGACTGCTTTATCTTGACTGCGATTGTCGAGCAAGTCCTCCTGAAAGTTACAGTTGACAGCATGCCAACAAAATCGATATGGGCTCAGTCCGATTTGATGTATTCTAGACTGTTAAAGACCCTTTTTTTTGGTATTCTGAGCGCATCCATAAATCAAATGGAGATAGCCATGCTTCGCAAATGCCATGCCGCTCGACTGCACAGCGGCGAGGCACGGAGAAATCAGGCCGGGGAATCGGAACAACGCCTAACGCACAACTGAGGCATGACACAGACGAGGGGGAATCGTACACCTAAAAGCCAGGCTCAGAAACCGTCTAGTCTGCGCCAATTTCGTTGGCGCCTTCCATGCCGAACGACCCTGTGTTGAAATCAAAGGCCTGGTTATCGCCGTCTTCGTGTAGAAATGAGTCGAAGTCGAAATCGTTAAGAACATTGTCCGAGACCAACGGGTCGGCGAAGGCCATGGCGCCGAAGTCCACCATTGGGTTTGAGTTGTCCATGAACCCTCCGTTCTGGTTAGCATCGTTGTGCGCCTGGGGGGCAACCTGAGGCTGTGGGGCAGGTGCGGGAGCAGCACCGTTGGGCACGGCTGGCACGGCGGCGTTCTGTCCATTCTTGGCGAAGCTGGCAGGGGCGACGGGAGTGATGGGAGTAGCAGGCGTTGCCGCCTCCGCGTCTGCACCGTCGGCGGCTGGTGTGGTTCCACTGTTCAGGTTGTTGTTGTTGTTGTTGTTGTTGTTGTTGTTGTTTCCCTTCTTTCCAGCAGTAGCCTGCGCACATGTTAGTTTTGTTTTGGTTGCATGTTTCTTCCAATGCACTCACCTTTGCTTTTGTGTTCTTGTTGTCCTTCTTCTTCGGGGCCGCCTTATTTGACTGTGACGGAGTCGGAGGTGCCGCCGCTGCTTGTTGAGGCGATGAAGTGCTCGTCCGGTTGGAGTTGGCGCCAGCTGGCGCAGATGGCGGCGGCATCGACCGTTGCTGAGGTGTACCCTGAATAGATCCCTGAGGACCCTGAGGCACCATCTGTCCATTCGGGCCGCCTTGTTGCCATTGCACCGGCTGACCACCTTGACCGGCCTGCTGAGGCTGTCCCTGCTGCTGGGGCGGCTGTCCTTGCTGCTGCTGGGCCTGCTGCTGCTGTTGCGCCTGTTGCTGTTGCTGCCGGGCGACCATCATCTGTTGCGGGTTCATCTGGCCGTTGAATTGCTGACCGGGGTGCGAACTGGGTGGACGCATGCCGCCATTCATCTGCGGATTGCCAGCCATGTTCCCATCCATTTGATTGCCCATGCCCTTGAAGAAGTGTGGTGCCATGTTCGGGTCCATCTGGTTGCCCATGAAGTTCATTGGGTTGGGGGAGCCGCGAGATTGAGCGCCCTCGGGTAGCGGTGAAGGAATGCCAGCGTTGTTCATCTGTGGGGTGCCTCTCTTCATCTGCTCCGTTGGGTTTGGTGAAGCCCCGGTTCTGGCGCCTTGGGGAGATGTCTCTGGGAAAGGCTGACCATTGGGACCAGGGGGTGCGCCAGGGCCGCCTGGCCCAGCCGGACCGTCTCTGGGCATGGCACCTCCGCCCATGTTATCTTGCTCCTGTCGGGCCATCATGAGCCTTTTCTTATTCTGCTGCTCCAGAAGCATTAGCTGCATTTGATAGTCCTGCAGAGCGTGGTTACTTCCACCACCGGCTTGGGCACCGCCAGGGCCAGGCCTAATTCCTCCTGGACCCATTTCCCCAGCGTTGTAGTACGCAGCCAGCCCAGCCCCTTCCTGGCCTTGAGGCATCATGGGCGAGCCCTGGCCCTGGGGACCGGGCGCGTTAGGCATGGTTTTGTTAGGCATCTGGCTAGCCTGATGCTGTTGGAGGTTTGCCGCATATGTAGCAATGGACTTAGCTTGGACAGCAGGTGGTTGGTTTGAGAATGTCGTGAACTGCTGCTGGGTCAGCGATGCCGGGTTGATTCCGTTGGTGATGAGCATCTGCTGGGCTTGAGCTACGTTCGGGGTGGTCCCCACCTGCTGGCCGGGCATGCCCTGCTGAGGTCTTCCGTTCGGCATCATTCCAGGCTGGTTCGGGAAGTTGGGCGCTCCGTCCAGGCGAGGTCTCTTGGAAGGCGAAGGGGCGTTTTCGCCGGAGCCAGGCGACGAGGGGCGCTGGCGGTTGCCATCCATGTCCGAGGGGTCTCGCTGCATCTGGGTTTGCTTCGCATGCTGCTGAAGCATTTGCATGGCCTGGGGGCTGTAGCGGGGTTCAGGTTAGCAAACATGCACATGAAGAATGAAAGCACGAAGCTGCGAGGTCTCACTTGTTCTGGTTGTTCGCCATGGCTGCCCTTGCCAGGTTACCCTTTTGCATATTCATGGCCATACCGCCATTCTGCATGTTGCGCATCATCTGGGAGTGGTATTGCTGCTGAGCAGCCATGCCGTCTGGGCGCATCTGACGGAGAAGTTCTTGCTGCTGGTTCTGTCGCATGCGGGATTGCTGCTGGGATGGTCGATTAGTCATGTTCTAGATGGCGAACGAGCAATGTCGAAGTGTAAGGACGTACCTGAGTATGGCTGACATATTGGTTGATAGTACCATTGCCACCCTTTGTTCGTTGCGCGTGGAAGATGTCCCAGAAGAGGCAGAACCATTCGTATAGGAAGGATGATTCTGAGGCGGGCCCACCCAGCTTGGGGGCGGGAAGGTCATCAGGAAGCTTCGCGTCGATGTCGTCTTTGGAGTCGGTGTCCATGGGGTCGTCACCAAGACCATTGCCGATGAGGTTACCGTTCTCATCCCTCCGGCGATTGCCATCCTTGGCGACATTCACTTGGTGGTCTCCATTAAGGAGAGATCTAGCGCAATCAAACATTTGATGGCGGAGGAAGTACTCGTAGATGTATGTGTTGAGTAGGGTGCGCTGGTTCTCGGTGGGCATGGCCATCTGTCGTGGACCACCGGCGACTTGGGGAGCGACTGCACCATTATTCATCATGGGGACGGGCGCGCCAACAGGGCCACCGCCCATAGCGTTCATGTTGGCCATGTTGGGATTGACGTTGGCGTTCATGATTGTGAGCCGGGCTGCAGACAAGCGTCTGCCCAGCGGGATTAGGTGAGGTCGATGCGATGGAGAAAGGAGACGTTGATTGAAAGACGGTGGTTGTTCGGAAGCGAAGAGAGAGTGTCGATGTCGTCAAAAGTTTGTCGGTCAGCCACCTTTGTGGTTGGAGGTGGAAGTCGCAGAGCGTGGACGTGGTTACGCGGTGCGCTAAAAAGCCGGCTGGCGGCAAAGTCGTGTCGGATTCAGCGGTAGGGCGCAGGGGCACAAGGAGCCTTCAGTTGTATGGATAAGAGAAGGGCTGGGGGAGCTGTGGACAGAGGCGCGCAACAGATGGCGGGATGCGCGATCGGTGACGATGGCGGTGGTGAGATGGTTTGGCACAAATGAAGAAAAAAAAGAGTCGAAAGACGTGGCAGCGACAGAAGCTGTGGCGGATTTGGGTTGGAGGGGGGGGAGTAGGATTGATGCGAGGGCGAGATGTTGAAAAAGGCGGAAGGGCGACAGGATGGGCCACCAAAGGCAGTTGCAGGTGAGGGAGTGGGACTTGAAAGGAAATGGGAAGAGGTGGAAAGATGAGAGACAGGAGGAGGAGGGAAGCAGCGCGACTCGGGGGTCGGGGGTAGGAAGACCTGGTGTTCTGGCTCAGGCTCCGGCTCAGGGTCTGGCAGTGTGAGAGTGTGGCCCTTCTGGGTGGCTAGGTATTTGATTTGGATTTGGGTTTGGCTTTTGGGGGGGAGAAGGGGGGGGCTTCCTCTCTCCGGGGGAGCAGCGTCGACGGGAAGTGAACGTGGACGTGGTGGACCACCGTGGTTCCGGGTGGTGGTGCTGGGCTGCTGCTAATAATGGGTGGGTGATGGTCGGTCTGTGAGTACGGTCTGGCTTCGTGAATCGTCGGTGTTACCAACAGTGGAGATGGCGGGATGTTATTCCGTAGCGAACCTAGAAGGGGTCGACTGATCGGTCCCTCAAGCCGCGGTCGCTAGGCCGATCAGGCAAGGTCGGTTTGAAGATTGACGAGTGTCTCGCGGGGCGCGAAGACGGGTGACCATGAACAAGGACTCAGGAGAGTGACAAACACGTTATCGAGACCACGTTGGCATTGAAGATGTGGTCGACATTCGAGGCCATCCAATGTCCAAAGGGGGAAATCTGGAAGTGGATTGGTGATTTGAGGAGGGAAAGGGAAATGCGGGAGTAGAGGTCGGAGGAAGCGAGAGGACGAGGGAAAAAAGAGAGGGGCGCCTTGGGTTAGACGGTAAGGCACCTAGTCGACAATGCTTGAATGCAGAAAGACAGTCGCGGGTGGGAAGGAGGACAAAGTGGGAGAGTGGAAAGGATGGGGTTGGGATTTTCCCAATTTTCGGGGGCATGCGACGCTTGGGCGGGATTTCTACCTATTCACCACAGACTTCAGGACTCCAGAGACCTTTGCGAGCACTGAACGAGGTACGGGTAGGTAGGTAAGGTAAGGCAATAGGCCGCTGCTAATACCAGATAGACGTCGATGGTGGAGGTGAAGCGCGAGGTGAGGCACGGTGGGCACATTTCAGAATGAGCTGCGAATATCTGAGACCGCTTGTTGCCTGAGGCCGCATATCAAATCGTCAGAGGCAAACATCGACAATCACCTCCAACTTGCGTGCTTGCTTTCCAGCGCCCTGGGTGCTAGGTGAACTGAAAGGCTCTGAAAGGGCCCTCAATCTTGGGTGCCTGATGTACCCAAGGCACCTTAAGGCAGTAGGTATCCGTCAAGGTACGGGCGTGGGCTAAAGCCTTGAAGGGCTCTGAGCTACCTTATCTAACCTTACCTATGTTCCCACCTACCCACGTTAAGGTCCCTTACCTTACCTGGAGCTCAGATAGCGATCTTAGGTACGGAGTACCTCAGGGCTCATCGGCATGGGAGCCCGGGGGGCCATGCTGGCCGTCGCGTCGTGGCACGTCGAGCTTATGACCCAGTACCGGGTATTAGCTGCGCGCCGCCTCCACGACCCACGTACCCGATCTTCACACTTCTGCTAACGTCGCATCTTGAATGGACCGCACCAAACGCGCTCCATCAAACGTCTCAGTCAAAATGAGAGCCCGTCCGCCATAGACGCATCTGCAACCTGCCCTTCAGTTTCTCGTGACGTGAGGTGGGAAGCCCTGAGTCCTGACAGAGACTCAGACAACCGTCCAGACTCCACGGTCCACCCAAGGCACTACGGAAATCCCGCCTCCCGCTTCCACGGGTTTCTTGCTCCAAGGCTGACTGGAAGCTCCATGCACATCTAGAAGCATCGACTTAAGGTGTGTAAGCTTCTTTGACCTGTCCGTCACGTGAGACACACTGCTACGGCAGGCATCTTAAACACGCCAGGCAACGCAGGTACGACCAATGTCCCAACGTCGCCTTGGGATGCCATTTCTGCATTTCAAAGACCCTTCTGATCTCATTCTAATCGATGCGCCCACCTGTCGATATTATTCGCAGATTCTCTGCACCTAGGTAATTAACCCACGCTTCAGTTGGGAAATGAAAGGCAAGCTATGGGCCACAGCACGGACCTCTCGAGCAAGCTTAAGGTTCCGTATAATAATATCAACAGGAGTGAACTTGATAGCACTTCGCCCAATAAATCGCAGCAAGGGCAAATGAACATTGGATATTCGCAAATTGTTGTCGCTTGACAATCCTACCATGATTTCACCTACCGTGCGTACACATTTGCTGCTTGTGCTCCTTTTGCGACATCCCGGCCTGGCTGCGTATTTGGTACTCCGTACTGTCAGAACTCAGAAGAACCCACTTCCCCGTCCCAAGAGCCCCATGTCGGCTGCCGTGACGCCCCACATTTCCCGATGATCGGCCGGCAGTATTGAATGGAAGGCAGGTGCTGGCCGTACCTTCCTCGCCTTCCGCGAGAAAGCCTATATAGGTCCTGTTGAATCAATTCCTGTCACCAGCAACAGCAGGCGCCCCTCTAGGTCGGGGGGTCAGGACAAACTGGCTGGGTGGTGGAATGGTTCAAGTACAATAATCAATTTCGCCCACAGCCTACTCGACGACAGGCTCCGAATTCAATTCCCAGCAAGTGCACCAAGAGATCTAGCCACACCGGTGGTGAACTCTTTTTTTTTTTTTTTTTGTACACACTAAATAAAGCCCTGTCGGCCAATCCCCTGGCCTTACTTACGTTGGAGTCAACTCGCCTTACGGCCCAGTCATGAGCATGCGGGAGCAGAAACTCGGTCATCGCAAATACAACTTGTCTAAAGGACGGGAGGAGCAAGCATTGACCCTCCATATCATCGTTTGCTTCAAGACGCCATAGATAGGTACTTTTCTCCCAAGCTAGCCTGCCCTAACATTGTACTTAGACACAGTGACATCATATCACCATCCACCTTCATCGTCAGATCCTCACGTTGACAGGGATGGCTTTGGTATGTATAAGTCTCTTTGATATCGTGCAGGTCATGTCTGCGGCTTAGGCGCTGTACCGGCAGTCTCCATCTTGAGACAGGCGCTGTACGCCCGACCTCGATGTTCCCCTGCCTCATGGTTCTATGGAGGTGCTCTTGGCGTACCGTAGTGGGTGATGAAGCTGGCGTTCCCCTCCATCTCCACGAGCTAATAGGGGACCAAGTCTGCGGGCTGTTTCCAGCCTTCTATCGACGATAGCAAGCTTGTATCGAGGCGGAACAACCCATTGAAGCATCGAATCTGCTGTCCGGGTGTAGTAAAGAACAAAGTGGCATGGCAAGATGTAATACCATCTAGTCATCTTCGGGAGGAAGCTCGTCATCAATGTACCGCACTAATGATACCCTCATCTCCGTCGTGTCGTGGCCTCGCAGAACGTCGCTGATAAAGTGCGCTTCAACCTGCATCTGCACCATCTCAAGAGCTCCCCGCAACACTCCGCAAAAGATGTTGGAGTACCAGAGCTCATCCTGCGCTCGCTCGTCGTCGGGCAGCTCGACAAAGTCTGCGAGGGGGTTTTCGTCAAACACAAGCGAGAACTGTTTGTTGTCCGTCGTCCAGTTGGTCACCTGTGGTGTGATATTTAGAAATATCTTGAAGCCGACCTACGTTCGCAATGGTCAGCATGCCGGCTCAATGGTCGACGAATCAAGGGATCCGTACTCTTGCAATGACGTCTGCGGTCTCGCGAAAGTTTGCGCATCTCTTCATTGTGTTCGACTTTGCCAAATAATCCTCAATGAGACGAAGGCCGATGTTGTATCCCATCTTGTCTAGCTGCTTGTTGACCTCCACATAGTCGCTATCGTAATCTTTGCACAACTGCGCAACAATTGTTCCGTAGGTGAGAGTAACGAGCTCGGCGTTGACTTTGTCTATACGGGTTCTACAATCGAGCATGTCAGACTTGTTCGCTTTTCGGCATTCGGATGCCACACAACGTACTTCCAAATTCTGTTGAACAATTAGCTTCTGTCTACCACGCTCGGGTCTGGCTGAGAAACGCACTCTTCTCCCAAGCGGGTTGCTTTGCTTGCGGCCATGGTTTATTGTAGACGTCTGCCAAAATAGTAAGGGAGGGAAGGATCGCCGGCGTCAGATGGCTGGTACTGCGGGCTGTGTTGCGGAAGTGGCTGCCGCCTCGGATCGCAACCACGTCACGTCGTTGACGTGGGCTGTCTTGGGACCTTTCGCACAGGGAATTTCAGTCGCAAGTATTCGAGATCGGAGAATCTGGCGTTCGCGAGAGTTATTGTTGTCGTACTGGTCGAAGTTGAACGTGAGGCTCGGATGGACGGTGAGGTGCCAAATGGCGTTCGTGGACATCGATGAGGTTAAAGATAAGATAAGCTGCTGGGAGGAGCAAAGCTACGGATACCTACCCTATATGTATTTTACGTACAGCTAGGTAGGGTAAGGTACCTCGAAGCAAGGTATGGATATGCACTGAGGTGGGCGCTCCAGGACGGCTCTGATTTGAGGTCCCACCTTTAGCTCGGGGATCGGCAGAAGCAAGCTCCGTCCGCATCCCAACCTTGCATGGACCAATGATCTTAGCTAGCACATTTTCTCTGGTCAACAACCGCCTGCCCGATTCAATTGACATCCAATACGACGCGAGAAAGCACGATTCACGCAATACGACGATTCTGCATCGAACAGAATACCTTCGAGCTTTGAAACACTCATTCGACAACCGCAGTCATGTCTGCTGAGAAGAGACCGGCGGATGACGAGCTGGGCGCTGGCCAGATGATCGTAAAGCGTCAGAATGTGGGATCTTCAACAGGAGCTTTGGCGAGGCTCAACGCCTCAGGAAAGAGCAGCGCATTAGTGCAGACGGTAGGCGATCACTTTACAGTGCCAATTGGAAAGTTACTGACGACCTGGCCGACAGACACCGCGTACGAGTAACCTCCAGGCACCGGTCATGGAACTATCCGGCCACTCGGGCGAGATCTTTGCTGCGAAATTCGACCCAACGGGCAATTTTATCGCCTCAGGATCTATGGACAGAAGCATTTGTTGGTTGACCTCTGTCCTGTATCACCGGCGAGGTGAAACTAACTCGTAAGTAGTGTTGTGGCGAACGTATGGTGATTGCGAAAACTACGGCATCCTCAATGGCCATCGAGGCGCAATTCTAGATCTGCAGTGGTCGAGGGACTCGAAAATAGTCTTCTCGGCTTCGGCAGATATGCATTTGGCAAGTTGGGACCTTGAGAACGGAACCAGAATACGAAGATACATCGGCCACGAAGAGATTGTCAACGCCGTGGACCTCAGCAAACGAGGCGAGGATATGCTAGTCAGCGGAAGTGACGATGGCTCTATCGGCTTGTGGGATCCGAGGTCAAAGAACGCAGCAGACTACATCCAGACGGAATTCCCCATTACGGCCATTGCCATGTCGGAGGCTGGAAACGAGGTCTATACGGGAGGCATCGACAATGACATCAAGGTCTGGGACCTGCGCAAGAAATCGGTCGTGTACTCGATGCTGGGGCACCAGGACACGATCACTTCACTCAGAGTCTCTCCAGACTCGCAATCTTTGCTTTCATATGCCATGGACTCCACGGTAAGGACATGGGACATTCGGCCATTTGCCCCGACCGATAGAGCCATCAGAACGTTCGACGGCGCTTCCATGGGCTTGGAGAAGAATCTCATCAAGGCCAGCTGGGATTCCGAAGGCAAGAAGGTGGCTGTCGGTTCCGGGGACGGTACTGCGACTATCTGGTCCAGCGAGACTGGAAAGCTCATGTACAAGCTTCCGGGCCACAAGGGAACCGTCAACTGTGTCGAGTTCGCGCCCGGCACGGAGCCAATAGGTGAGCATTTCTTCTCTTCGCGATCGCAGCGACATTTGGCTAACAAATTTTGACAGTACTTTCCGCATCGTCTGACCGGAATATGCTGCTTGGGGAGCTGCGGTGAGGGAAGCCATCCCCAGCACACTTCTTCCATTCTAGCCACATTGTCGACGCTTAGTGCGCGCCCTCTGATATTGCAGCAAATCAATGTTTGCATGCATGCTTTCGGTGCGAACCAGGCTGTGCGTAGGCGGCCGAGAGACGCTCGATGGGTATGCAATCCATAAATCATCGCAACACCAACAAGCTAGGAACGGTTGGTCCCAGCGGCCGATACCGAGTCTCGGTATCTGCCATCTGCAAAGTCACATCATCCCGGTATAGCAGCAACAGGGGCATACACGGGGCATGAGCATAAGTGTCCGGTATTGATGATGGCAAGCGCTTCAAGAGCACTGGAGTATATCAGACAAGACAAAGGCGGACAGACACATTCGGGAACTGCCGCTTTGAACTGCAGGAAAATGCCGACACCGGCGATTGGCTCCGTGCCATTGCCAGCTGCATAGGGCTTACGTAGGGAGTCTAGGCCATGCGTGTTTGTTGGCGAGTGACACGGCCCAGGAATGCTCATCTGATGTGTCTTCGTTTTGTCTCATAAGGGTAACCTTGAGACAAGATCGCGTGGTTCAATTCACAAGAAACACAATTAGAGCACTGCACCTTCAACAAGGAGTAATTCGGCTTGGCAGAAGCATGGTTCACAAACGGTTTATTCTGGTAATGAGATAATGTTACAGGTGTGTCCAATTAGCTAAACTGGCCAATGCCCAATGTCCTAGAAAAAGTTATGGACCCTGTGTTTCCTCTTTCAATCATGTGGTGCGCGGCCGTGATGCGGGATTTCATGGGACGTTGAACTCTATCGGCTTCTAGAGGAATTGGAAACGCAGCTCGGAGGTCGGAACATTGCGCAACCTGACGATCCGAGGGCGAATCACAGAGTTAAAAGGGCACAAGTGTCGAATGCCGTGACTTTGGACGATGACGCGGATGGGCTTCGGCTCCGAGTGTCCAAGTGTCCCAGTCTGCCTGTCTTAACCCAACTGGCGGTCCATTCGCAAGACCTTCTCTAGCTGTCACTTCCATACTGACAGTAGCTAACGTCGATCATGGTCCTCGAGTCTTTGTAAGCGTACGCTGAGGTAATATCACGAGAGAGAGAGAGAGAGAGACGACAACGATGTCTGGTTGCGACAACGATAAGCGCAATTCCGTTGTCGTTGAGGCCCGTGTCCGCAAGTCATCCATCCCTCTCTGGATCATGGATGTTTTCTATAAGGGGATATCTGATTATAAGTGGAGGTTCGAGCCAATATGGAGATATTGGCCCCCACATCAGAGGAAGAGGCATGGGTTTTCAGTGTTCACTAAGAGTAAGGATAGATCCCAGGGTCCATCACAGGAGTTTGACCGTGGGAACCATCTAAATCCAACCGAGACGAATGATCCGCAAAGGACGCTAAGCTGAGGCGCCAAAGACTGCTATTCTTGCCGCCAATGTCACCTAACACTACTATTCCTAGTTCTTGTGCACATCTCGTAGTTGCAGGCAGCAAAGGAATGGAAAGCGAACTGAGCAGTTGGACTGAGGACAGGATACAAGTTGGAGGAGACTCAAAACGCCAAACGCCAAACGCCAGCCCAAACCGAGGGCGGCCTGGGTTGGCGTCCCCTTCTTCAAGACAATCAAAGACTCCAATGAGAGAGCCCCTTTCCGCGCGCAGTTACGGGTCTAGTCCGAATAAAGGTTGGCGCGCGTCGACACAAGAATCCGAAACACGTTTTCTTCTCCAGCCGGCCCCCTGAGCCCTTCCTCCCATCAGGTACGTATCCCAAGTCCCACCGTCTCCCACGCGCTGCGGCGCTGTGGCGCTGCGGCGCTGCGGAGAGTTGTGACGGTGTCCGAGGTCAACTCATCCACCCCTTACGATTGGTTCCCATGTTCCCAGAAGCAACCCCCTTGACTGCTTGTGCAACACTCCAATTGTCAGAGAAGTCAATAAACGAAGGGTGAACCCGACCCGTCCAGCACTCCTACCGTCTGCGCCGAGCCTTCAAGAGTTCAGACTGCAAGCATTCGTAGGTCTGCGAGAGCCCAGAGACAAGAAGATGGAGGGAGGGTTTCCTGCATTATCCTTGCCGTCCTTGACTCGGTTTCATTGCATACGAAGTACGGAGTACCTACCTCACCTTACCTCAAGGCTCACGGATACATTCCCATCCATCTCATCTCATCTCTCTACGGAGGTACGAAGTAATGAATCGCATACACAGAGTCGAGTCTGGGCCAAGCCGAGACTACCTTGCGGCTGTCGTATGTAGGTAGTATGCAAGGGTCTAAATGCAGATATTGTGTACGGAGTACGGAGTATTACCGCTTGTTCACATCCTCGACGCCGCACACTCGGTGCGTTTCCTCCCCCAATCCTCCTCTCCCTCGTCAGATCCTACTCTCCTCGTGCCCTCTCAAACACCCCTATCCCGTCTGCTCGTTACTCCTTCCAGGTTCTCCAGAGTCGCAAGTCGCAGAATCCCAGGTACACTGGGATGAGACTGGCGTGGCGTTTGCGTGACCAAGTTCGCCGCTTTCTTTTCTTGTCCTGTCCAGTGGCACCGTCCACTGATCCCCAAACGACACAGATCTGATCCAACCGCATGCTGCAGACGCCAGACTCGTTAGCCCATCGACACCTCCTTACCTCTCATATTTGGCTTGACATTGCATACTCCATCCCTCGCATTACCTAGCCCTGCCTTGGACCGAACTGCTGGTTGAGGTCGCCGGCGGACCACGAAGAAGACGCTCGGAAACGACGCCTACCACCCTGTTCCTTGGTTACCGTTGGCCCAGAGCACTTTGCTCTCCTCTTCTCTCGGTCCATCTGTGATCTCTTCCTTCTTCACCAATCCACATCGCGCCCAGCGTCATGTTGGCGCCAGCTGCCTTTCTGGCATTGTCTTCATCTTCTGCTTCTTGCTAGCCCGCCTGGCCTTGTCGCCCTCATTGTCAAACTAGTACATTTCCCTTCTTCCTTCACAAGTAACGCTGTCTGTAGACCGTCGCTTGTTTCTCTTAGCTCCGGGAGCCACATTACCTAGCCAACGTTACCCTTGATACCCTCCCAAGCTGTTCTCTTGCGAACGCGAGTATCAGCCTCCCTTCGACCACTCAAGACGCCCTTTTTCATCCCTTTGGACGCCCTTTATCAACCAACGCACCATCCAGTCATCGATCGCCGTCATTGGTGCTTTACAGCCGTTTCCCAGCCGTTGCTGGTAGCCCGCCACTGCCGCACTAAGAGACAAGATAACCTTTGTTCTTCTCATCGCGGCTGACTCGATTTCTTTGTGCAACTGGCCAAGAGGGGAACCTCACCGTTGCGTTCTACGCCTCCAGCGCCATCGACGACTTTCACTGTACGACGACGAAACACTGGACGACTACTTGCGCTTACTCGATCGACACATACACCCAAGGATGAGAGGAGCTTGAACGGTGATAACTTCAGCTCATCTGTCAACTCTCAGCGGCAAAGCGTTTGGCCCATAACTCAGCTCACTCGTCATGGACTTTCTTCGGCGAGGGCGTTCCTCGCAGGGGGAGGATATTGAGCAGCAGGCTCTGGCAGGCCCATCTACACAACCAGAAATGGAAGAGGGATCACGGCCTCGATCGAGGCGCTTGCCTGGCACAAGGCCTTCCCTCTCCTCAAGGAGGCGTCCCGGCAATGGGATGCAAAGAATAGAAGACGAGGAATCTGACAGCCCGAAAACACCACGCTTCAATATTGGCCTGCCGACGCTGCCAGGAACCCGTCTGAACCTGCCACATCTCGCGAGAACATGGACCAGCGGTTCCAATGGCACCGATTCGCGGCCCAACTCGACATCGCAACAACCCCTAAACCGAGTCGACGAGTCTGCTTCCCCCGAACCGCCCACGACGAGAGCTGCTGGACAACCGCCAGCTACGACCCGGGTGACGATGCCGGCGCCTGTCGCACGGCACCCCGAAACCGAAACCTCCAGCGGGACGAGGAGGTTCACCGGGCCAGATCCCGCAGAGATGCATCTGGCGAACATGGCACAGGAAGGTCGGCGGCGCAGACGACGGGCACATCGCCGACAGCAACATGACGATAATAGCGAGGGGCATCCTAAACGATTTCTGCTCTGTATTCCCTGGCCAAAGTCACGGCGCATGCGATCGCAGATTCTCCGATGCTTCATTTCAGGCGGATTCCTGACGCTCCTCCTCGCCGTCTGTAAGTGGTGGCCCTACTTTGGCAAGTGTTTAGCGTAATATTGGAGACTAACTACTTCAACAGATCTAGCACTCTCCCTCACACAGAATATTCGCAGCAGCGAGTTTACCGTGTTGTTGATCCTCATCATTTTGTTCGTTACGATATTTTTCTGTCACGGCTTGATCCGGTTATGCATGCTTGTCATCCGGCCACGGGTCGACGACGAGGCCGGACCGCCGATGCCGCAACTCTTGGCACCCGGAGGCTACGCCGTGCCACGAGAACCGATCCGAGTCGTGCTGGCGCGCGATGAGGAGGAGCAAGGGGAGGTCAGCGAGGCGGTCTTGGCCAAACCCCCGGCCTACGGCCTATGGCGAGAGAGTGTGGTATGTACTTATATGAAGCGTGGTATTGCACGTACGTTGGGAACTCTTGGACTGACACATTCCACGCAGAGGGTTGACCCCAACCGCATCTACTGGCAGCGCAACCCGAACGCCACGCCGAACGAGGGAACATCCAGTCGCGGAGAAAGCAGCACCGGTCCTCGACCGCCATCATACGCATCAGAGGACGGAGTGAGCTACGTCGTCGAAGCTCGACCCCGATCCATGGCCCCGGCATCGATGACTGACGTACCGACCCCACTGCCTACGCATCCTTCCGAGATGGGACGGTTGGGTGAACACAGGAGTGCGTGGTAAAACATGTAAACGAGAATCGAACCTGTCACGGTGATGGCAGAGAGTAACAAAAGAAAAAGAGCCCGCACTCGTTGAGCGGAGAGAGAGGGGCATTGTTTATTATACTGAATTGCTTTTTGCTGCGTAGGCGCTGGCGGTGTTTGTAAGAACATCGATGTTTATCAACTCAGGATCTGGCGCAGAAGGCAGCAGAAGCAGAACCAAGGGCATGCAAAATGGCGACGTCCCGAATGAGGGTCTTACATGCAAATCTGTACAGACCATTTTCGAACTGGGGGCTGTAACGTCATCTTTGGTATCTTAAGAAGTCACGGAAATGTAATATAAGAGAGGAGACATGTCACAAGTGATCTTGAATGGAGTCAAGTAGAACACATCTGCGAGAAGGAAGAAGAATACATGACTACACGTTTCCAGTATTGTTCAAGCATGACGACTGTTGGCTGCGGCGTGTCCTGCGAGAGTGGTTCCACAACATGGCTGGGCTTACGTTTACCCCGGACGGACGGGCTTGAGATCAAACTTCTTCTGCAGAGCCGCCAGCGGTAAGGCGTATCACTACCTTTCGTTGTGGGAATACAACAGAAATCGGTGCCTTATACATACGTGCGGGCGGCGGCAATTCCGTAGCTGCACCAAGAAGCTGAGCAGAATTCTGCATCCCGTCCTGCGCAGGATCACGACGCAGTAGCAAATCCGATATGACAAAGCCGTACTCCGTACATGCCGCATCTTCACTCAAGTACTCTGGCTTCCAACTCTTACCTGTGAATCCCGGCTGTGAGCAAGCAGAAACAGCTGTCCGTGGTCATCTGCGAGACTGCATTGCGCAAGCTCAGAAGCTCAGTATGCGGGTATCCACAGAACTATTCCACTGCGAAATTCCTGCTTTTCGACCCTGCAAGCCACTTGCAATAGAGAACCCCCGGACCTATGGCCCAGGAGGCGGGCGGGGAGGTGACATTGAGACATGTCCAAGTGTCGCGACACACGGACAATTTACATTGACTCGGGTCAGGAACCGCCACATGGACGCCATGAGGACCGGGGTTGATACATATACTACGACACCTTTTTTTCACTCTGGCCTGTTTTTTCTGGGCGGCACATTCAGGTGGGCATGCGCTGTGAGGCTTTTGGTCCGGATGATGGTTTCCAAGTTTGCTCAAGTGTATTCTCCTAGCGCGCGGAGTTACGAGGGCTGGACTGAGGGGAAAGTGCTACAAGGAGGAGAATAGCGCTTCCGGATGGCGAGTTGCGGATAGTGAAATAGGTGCTACCTCTGTGTATACTGCCGAGGTGGGTGTTTGTGCGCTCGTGTTTGTTGTGTGCTTTGATCCAGAGGTTGAGAACATGGGCCTCTAGTTCGTCAGGAGTCAAGTATCCGTACTCCGTACTGCCGAGTGATTAAGTGAGATTGGTTGGTTTACATACTCTTAGTCGCTAGACGAGATGTAACGTGGAGGTGGGTGAGCACGTGGTGAGGTTGTTCAGGGTGAGGGCAAGGTTTGTGAGAAGGGCAACATGAAACTTACCTCGCGCTTCCAATTTTGGCAAGATCTGGCGCAGCGGAAGACGAGCTGAGTAGGACAAGTTTGAACTCTGTTTGATACTACGGGCTGTCTGTATTTGTGTTGGGTGCGGCGTATCAAGTTGACCCTGGTAAACGAGGTAGAAGTGAGTATGAGGAAGTCCTCCAACCGGTAAATTGAGGACGAAAGAGTCTCGCCAAAAGATGACCATTGACCGGGAGTAGGGGCCTTGGGTAACGATTGACTTGTCGGGGCATCGTTGTGAGACCTGGCCCGAGCGGCGAGAGGGGAGGGGAGACTTGTTTCTCCCCGCCCTCCACTTTTAACGACTCTTAGTTGCTGGCCTGAGTCTTCAGTGCTGAGTCTCGACATCGTGATAAGCAACTGCCCTTCGTGGTCCATACTCCTCTCATGGTCTGTGTCGAATGTGAGACAGACTGACAGCGTCTTGATCGTGTCCGACGGACCGACGTTGACCTTTGCTATCATTTCCGCCGTCTGTCGATGTTTCTCCCACATATAAGTTGATATGCAAGAGCTTCCACCCACATGAGCTTGGAAACTCGGGATGAAAAGGGGGTTTCTTCTTTGCTTTTCGTTTGTAGGTCGTGGAATGTATCGAATCATTCACAGGAAGCATCGGTCATTGGCGGATGTGGGATGTGGGAGGAGAAGCGGGTGACTGTATCTGCAGGTGCAGGGCAAGCCGCAAATGCAAGGGATGCAGTTCCAAGCGAGTGCATATCAAGCGCAAGTGCAACTCTTTCAAGTTCCATGGGCCATGGCATCGTGAGGTACAAGGTTTCCAAGTGCCCGGACCGAAAGAACCGGACTCGATTTTCAATTGACCAGTTGACACCATCTCAAGTTGGGTTCCACTCTTCAGGTGTGCGCTCTGTGATAGTCGGCCAGTGTGAAGGTATTGTGCAAGGTAGTGTAATGAATACCTCGCTCTCAGAGTCGCAACCCATCGTGGGAATGTCGTGGCCTTCCAACAGAGCCAGGAGACGGAGGGAATCCAGAGCCAGAGTGAATTGGTTGAATTGTTGCAAACGCGCTACGCCGATTTGAGGTAGACGTCCCACACGCACCTTTCCTCGTCTCCTGCCACACGCGCTTCTCCAACCCAGTCAAAGTTGCAAACCCAGCCCATCCCGCTCAGAGCACCTCAATCCAGCCAGCCCGGTCCCGTCCTTTCCCTTTCTCGTCAAGTTCGGGAAGGGGTTTGCTTGGTTGCAAGGTACCTCGAGGTTCCCCTCCAACGCTACCTAACCTTCCTTCCTTCCTATGACTGGGTGGGAGAGGGGGAAAGTGGTTGGAAGAGAAGGAGTGGCTGACTGTTGGTATCAGTTCATTTGTCAATTTCTCAAAAGATGAAGTGTCAGGGAGAGAGAGTAGTTGCGATAGCAGGAAGAGGCTGTGGGAAAGACGAAGGGAAAGAAGGTGGAGGAGGTGGATGAAGTAGATTTCACCAAACAAGGTAGGAGATAGGTGTAATAGATGTGGCCATCCTTTTTTTGGATGTCTTGTTTCCTTGTCATGTACCCCCTTCCTTCTAAGGTAGCCTTCCGGTCTTGTGTAGATGCCACTTCTCACGCACTGGTACCAAAAGAACCTTGTTCCGACTCGCCCTCATTCTGTGTGGTGTTTTGAAAAATTTTCGCCTATGTGAAGTCCGATGGTCGTGTGAGCTAAAAGCCTAAGGTAAATGCAAGGCAGGTTGTCAACTGAGGTGCCACTTGCCTTGGTTGCATTCCATTCCATTCTAAGGTCAGGTGAGGTACCTCAGGTTCATGGGAACTGAGAAGGAAGGAATACCGCACCAGTATCCGTACCTACCTAGCCTACCTTAGTAGGTATCCGTACCTGACAAAGTAGAACCCAAGGAAGCGGCAAAGAGAATATAATTCGGAAGCACGTTTCCTCGCCTCCGTTCTCTGTTTCCCACTTCCATCCAATTCGTCCCAGTCCCAATCCAGGTCCCAGTCCCTGGTTACATTCAACCTGAATTCACCCCCGCTACCTTAGCTTACCGCGCGTGCCTTACCTCACTCACTCTCACCTGGCCACTTGCGCTTACCTCCTCCTCCCAATTACTAGACCCCTCCTCCTCCTTCACAAATTATTATTTCCCCCCTTCCCGCATATTCAACCGCATTTTCTCTTCGAAACAAACTCGACGTCCCCGATTTTCCCAAAGGCAATTTTTCGCGAAAAGGTGAGTTTCGCCCTCGACCCTTCGTTCCTGCATTTTGCGTTCTGTCCGCACAATTCCCATTCGCTCTTGCCTGCCTCCCGGTACCTTCCTTACCTTTACCCCTCTGTCCTTCTACCCAGCCCTCTCCCCCTCGTCCTCTGCTCCCTGCTGCCATGTGGTGGTGCCGTGACGTTTCTTCGCCTTGCCGTCGCATCAAGTGCATGCGACGACGCACCAGGAAGTCCAGCCCATCGCAGTAGTGAGTAGCAGAAGCAATCAGCAACCAGCAGCCAGCAGCAGCAACGGCCGAGTCTCTAGTCTATCCGGACCGTCAGCGCCAATAATTGCATCAGCTTCAGCACCGGCATCAGCGTCAGCATCGGCATCAGCATTCGGTCCACACTCGGCTTGCATCGCATCGCAGCGCAACTCATTCCAGCGAGCGCAACGTAAAACATTCGGCCTCCCATCTACTCCGATTCAGATATGGAAACCAGTTAGCCATTTCTTTGTAGCCGGACTCATTTGCGCAACGCGACCAGCTTCGATGATGCGCCAACCCCGCCTATTGTTGGCCTGGCCGCAATTCCGCACACCCGCGCCGAGTTTCGCGCTTCACAGTCGTGTGCGCCCTACTGCGAACACAATGCAGCGATCCAATTTGGCACACCATTTCCACATTGAACCACAGCCGCAGCCGCATCGGCCTGCCGCATGCCACATCGACCCGGTTACCGATTCTCGGCCCTCCGTCAGTGTTGAACCCGGAGTCGCACAATTGCGCCGTCTCGCTTGCTACTATCCCCGCTACCCCGGCCCCGCGCACTTGCGCTCGAGTCGATGCGCCGCTCTCAAAAGCCCTTGGTGGATCGTCTTGGATAATCCCTCACGTCAACTTCAGCCGCTCGCCACCACGCTAGTGGACGGATTCCGTACTGGGCGGCTGTTAGGATATCTCTCTGCCGAGCAGGACCACCAAAAGCTACAATATGCGCACAAGGCCATACATGCCGGGACTCTCTCTCTTTGCCGAGGAGGTTGCGCTGAGCTGGATTGCGGCACTTGCGCCTCTGTCTTAAGAGTTTGGTCCTCCCCAATTAGATACGCGACACTGCAACCTACACTGCGATCCGGATACTGCTGCTGCTGCTTGCGACGCTACACATTGGATTGCGACTTCGAGGATGCGGGCTCCTGCTGTGCCAAATATTCCGAAAGACGGGGCGAAACATTAGTTGATCGACTTGACTCTTACTAACATGCCAAATCTTAGTCTCACACTATCCAAAATGTCTTCCCTCTCTCGTCGCGCCTGCTATAAGTGTGGCAATGTTGGCCACTATGCCGAGGTTTGCTCTTCCGCCGAGCGTCTCTGCTACAACTGTAAGTCACTTACCACTCAACGTTATGTTAGGCATATTATTAATGCGAGATTGTAGGCAAGCAACCCGGCCACGAGTCTAACGGCTGCCCTCTGCCCCGCACCACCGAGGCTAAGCAGTGCTATCACTGCCAGGGTCTCGGCCATGTTCAGGCTGACTGCCCGACTTTGCGCCTGAGCGGCGCTGGCACGAGTGGCCGCTGCTACAACTGCGGACAGCCCGGTCACCTTGCGGTAAGAAACCTCGATTTCTAGAGATCAGTGCTCAGATTATTGACGTTTGAGAAGCGCGCCTGCCCCAACCCCGCTGGCGTCAACATGGGCCGCGGTGGCCCCTCGGTTCCCCGTGGCGGATATGGTGGCTACGGCCGTGGTGCCTTCACCGGTGGCCCCCGTCCTGCTACCTGCTACAAGTGCGGTGGTCCCAACCACTTCGCGAGAGACTGCCAGGCTCAGGCCATGAAGTGCTACGCTTGCGGCAAGCTTGGCCACATCTCTCGTGACTGCACTGCCCCCAACGGTGGTCCTCTCAACACGGCTGGCAAGACCTGCTACCAGTGCGGCGAGGCCGGTCACATCTCCCGCGATTGCCCCCAGAAGAACACCAATGGCGAGATCCCTAACGACGTTGACCTGTCGGCTGCTCCTGGCATCCCTCAGCCCGCTGTTGCGCCCATTGCGCCTATTGCCCCCGTTGCTTAGACAGCGATCGTTGGTCATGTTCTCTCGAGGACGTTGCGACTTCTTGGGCTAGGCCTAAGGGTGTAAGCCGCCGCCTTGATGCAGCTTCCATCACAAAACTTTTGCGGCCTTTCTTCAGCGATGTCGCTTTCATTTATCTGCACTACGACCAATCATTACGCCTTTTGAACATCACCTCAACTGCACCTTCCCCCTTTCATTCTGGTTATTACTTCAATCTATGCATAAAATGGGCATGTCGCCAAATGGCATCCTTTGCTTTTACATGGCGTCTACACGGATTCCCCTTCATCAACACGATTCATTTTCTGGAACAAAACGGGAAAGGCTTCCTTTCTTCATAGCAAACGACTCTCACGACGGATGGTCTCAAGCACGTTTGAATGCATCTTCTCCAACGCGGTTGGAAACAAAAGTTCACGACCCTCTTAGCCATCCTATGGATAATCTTGGCTCGACAATGCTGCTTCTGGTTCGATATCACAACAACGAGGTGACATCATCTCTAGCGTCTGGTTCTTTGTCCACGATTGGGCTTAGACAACAACGGCAAGGAGAGCATTGTACAGGGCAGAACGATTCCAAGGCCGCTTGCGGTTAAGAATCTTCACTACCTCTACGTGCCTGCTAGCGATGGCTTGAATGGACAGCCAACCCTGGCCATGGGCCACTGCTGGCACGGCATATCGGGAGAGGGAAGATCCTTGGGATGGAAGACGGGGCTCGGGGAAGGGGATGAGAGATATCCAAGTATCTTATGAAGAAGAAGAGTTTTGGGGCGGTGGAAGTGGTTGTTGAGTAGAAGATCCCTTCGAAGGGAGAAACGGTGGGCACCCCGGCAAAGCTGTTGTGGCGTGACGCACAAAAAAAAGAAGCTGTTGTTGTTTGAGTTGTCCGAGTCTCTTCTGGGGTAGGGCGTGCAGTTGTGATGGGTGATTTGAACCGGGTGACGCTGTATAGGGGATGCTGCTGGATAGCGGGCAGTGGACTGCCTTTTGGGACCAACTTCGGCGTTTCAAGACTACAGGAGCAGGATACGCCAGCTCTGCTACGACTAACGACGGATGGATTTATCGCGGAGTTCACAAATACTCTGCTCTTAGTAGATACGGCAGAGCTCAAGAACGGCTCGGGGGGTATTCTCAAGGCTGGGAATTAGGCCTGACATAGACGGCACTTGTACGGGATCGCATGAAGCCATGGTCAAGCTCGAGACATTAGACAAATCACATTCCGTGGAGAAGTCTGATGTGGTCGAGCTTGGCCCGTGTGCTGGATGATAGCACAGCATGATGCGGCGCGAAGAGACCAGAGGTCGTGAGTAAGCACCAGCGCACACGGAGTCGAGTGGGTACCAACGGCACCCCGAAAGCTCTGGCCATCCGTGCCGGCGTCCTCTCTGGGAAGGTGCAACCGGACCTCGGTGTTCGTCTTGTCTTCTTGGTCATGCTGGTAAGGTCGGCAGGCCATTCTACATGTAGACATGCGTAACCCCCATCATTCGTGTGTCTGACTGACTGAGGCTACCGGATCACCTGGGCCGCGGCAGGCTATGATCAATTTTGCACATTGCGGCTGTTGGTGTCGAAAATCGGCCAGCCTCATTGTAATAAAAGTACTATGCCGAGTACCATTGTCCTGTTGTTGAAGCGGGGTAAAAGCCAACGGGCTAGTACAGCCTGCTTCCAAGTGCTGGTTTTGCTATGCAAGCAACGTATGAGTGGACTAGCATGCTCCAGTCCTCATTGCCTATGCCATCTTCTGTGAGGAAAAAACGCTGCTTTCATGTTCGAGCTGCAGCCTGATAGGTACCCACGATGCAGTAAGCGTATTTATCCGCGTGCCCATCTTCACCTGTCCGTCTGCCCGCCGCCTCATTCTGCCTGGGCGACCATGTCACGAGGGTCACACACAATGCTGTGAGACTATAGATCCTTTCCGTACGGTTGGGTCATCCGATAATCAGTGCCGTCGTCAAGTTCATAACGTCTCCCAACGTCCATGGAGGCAGGCTGCAGAGCCTCATCCGACAAGTTAAGCGTCAGGGCAATTCCCACCTGGATACATAAGCGACTGCTCAAAGCCTGCACCTACCGCCGAAAGATAACCCTCGCGTACTGTTCCTTCCTACGGTTCCCAGCCTTACCTCAATCCGCGTAAACGATTCACGTGGGTTCTTTCTCTCCTGCCTTCAGACCATCAGAGCTGGCCAAGTAAACTTGTCCACGTTTAAACCATCTGCCAGTTTGGGCCGCACCTGACGGGGTGGTATAAGCCGAGCACCCCAGCTGAGACTACTAGCTCTGACCAGCTGAACGAGTGTCGGCAAGCGCAAAAGACATCGCGAACAGCAACTTCCACTTTGACTCTGAGGCAACTGCCAAAGAGACTGAATGCGAAGACGCAATGGCTTCCACGGTAACCTCGAGCGCCAGCTCGAGCTCCGACGAGATTGTACCCTCGTCTGTGATCCCCCACCCGCGCCGTCGAGCATATTTAGCCACCATGCCTGTAACCGTCGCCAAGCCCCGAAAGACGAAGCAACAGCCTCCCCAAGAGATTATCGACGAGTTCTGGACAAAGTTCACGACCAAGACTCCGGGTAAAGGTCGGTCGCCTCCTCGACACGGAGAAATGCCTTTGATATCACTTGTGAGGCTGACTTGAATGTTTTTAACACCACCAGCTACCACTATCATTCCCCAGAATGCGTACGCTGAGAGAGTCGCAAAGCGGTCTTCCAAGGCCACTAGGATATTCACCCAGACGTCGTACGACGAGGCTGCGACTGTTTGCAAAGCCAAGGTCGACAAGATCGTTCACGAGTGTCGCCGAGTAAACCAACGTTACAGAGACCCTCACTATGACATAGAGTTTGACCTCAAGTTCGGGCGCAGAGACTGCCTCGAAACCCTGTGGAATACCAAGGACGCGAAACCCCCACAGTCCGCTTTCCAACCCAAGGCCGTCAAGCGCGTTGTCGATATCTTCGACAACCCGCAGTTCTACATTGACGGGCCTACAGCGGACGATGTGCGCCAAGGTCGAGACGGAGACTGTTGGCTCATGGCTGCATTGTGCAATTTGAGTAACAAGCCTGGTCTAATTGAAAAGGTCTGCGTTGCGCATAACCTTGAAGTTGGCGTGTACGGTTTTGTCTTCCATCGCGACGGAGAGTGGTTCAGCGAGATCATCGATGACAAGGTATGTTTCGATGTTCCTTTGACAGCATGGTTGGGAAAAGCTAGGACTAGAGATCCAAGAAGGTCCCACAAAGCTCTGAGGCTCTTTCTAACTTGCTGCATAGCTGTACCTTACTAAACCCGACTATGACGAGCCCTACTTGGAGCGAATTCTCTGGGAAGATCGGGAGCGCATCAATTCAGAAGAAGCCTACAGGCGTATTTATCAGTCAAACAGCGGCGCGCTTTACTTTGCTCAGTGCGAGAATCCTAACGAGACATGGCTGCCGCTCCTTGAGAAAGCATACGCGAAAGCGCATGGAGACTATGCCTCCATTGAGGGTGGGTTCACGGGCGAGGCCATTGAGGACCTTACGGGTGGCGTAACCTCCGAGGTCTACACTACAGACATTCTTGACAAGGAGTACTTCTGGAAAGAGAAACTCCTAAAGGTCAATGAAGACTGGCTCCTGGGCTGTTCCACTGGGTTTGCATCAAGGGGCCTGGGGGAACGTAAGGGCATCATCGAGATGCATGCTTACAGCGTCATGAAGGCAGTTGAAATGGATGGTCAAAGACTGGTTCTTCTCAAGAACCCCTGGGGAAAGGGTGAATGGAAAGGAGCTTGGAGTGAGTTCCATCTTCAAGTCTTGATGTCTAATCATTCTCGTGCTGACCGGAAGTAGGCGATGGTTCCAAAGAATGGACCCCTGAGTGGTTGCAGAAACTCAAACATACGTTCGGCGACGACGGCGCCTTCTGGATTTCGTACCACGATCTCCTCAAAAAATACAACATATTTGATGTTACCCGATTATTCGGTCCCGAGTGGAAGGTTACATCCATTTGGACAACGCTCTCGGTGCCCTGGACCCTGGACTACCACGAGACGTATTTCGCCTTTACAATCTCCAAGTCGGGTCCCGTCGTGATTGTGCTAGCACAACTTGACGATCGATACTTTCGTGGGTTGGAAGGTCAATACCGGTTTGATTTGCAATTCCGTCTGCACAAAGCCGGCCAAGAGGACTATGTCGTTCGGAGTCAAGCATCTTACCGCATGAACCGATCCGTGAACGTTGAACTCGACCTTCAAGCTGGTAGCTACGAGGTTCTTGTCAAGCTAGATGCGGTGCGAAACGACGGTGTTCTTCCCATCGACCAAGTGATTCGTAACAATGCCAAAAACCGTCGAGAAAAGCTGATCCGGATAGGGTTGGCCTATGACCTTGCTCATAGCAAGGGAAAACTTGTCGAGTCACCCGCGGAGAAATCAGCCAAACAGGCGCACGAGAAGAGACAGCGGGAAAAGCGACGTGCCGACATCAAGCGCAAGATCCTCGAAGAGCGAGAGCAGGAGCATTACCTCAGGATCAAAGCCAATAAGAAAGCTCAGAAGCAACAGGCGAAACGCATTGCACAACACCAGGCAGCAAAAGAGAAGCTACGTGCACAAAAGAAGATAGCTCACCCCCCTCCGTCGAAGCCGATCCCAAATCCACCAAGCCCTGTGGCCAAAGTCATAATCCAGGAAGACGAACCTGAAGCTCTTGAGATTGCAACCAAAAACCTGTCTTTATCGAACGATTCTCGAGGAATGAGCATCCAAGCCAATTCAAGTACCGCGGCCACTGAGGACGTACCGGTTTCTCCCCGTCACAAAGACAGAGCGATACCGCAAATCTTCAACTCGGCTGGAATGCTGGAACAAAACAGCAAAAGAGGTTCGGCATTTCTGACGCCCCCCAAGCCTACGAACAAGCATTCCAGAGGAGATAGGCGCGTGATAGTCAGCGTCAGGAGTGAGGTGCAAGAGACTAACCTTCAGGATGACGAAGAGGCGATGAGTGAAGCAGCACCCCCGTCGGAGTATTCCGCACATTACCCCTGCGAGTCAGACGATGATGGCATTGCAAGTGTATCATCCATGTCAGAGCTTTCTGAGCGGGAACTGGAGCTCGAGATTGACGCTGCTGAAAAGCGGGAGCCCATTACGGATCGTCTGCCGCCGCAGCCAGCGCCTGGTGCGCCTGCCGAGGAGCAAGACGAATTTGAAAGAGATCCGTGGAATGCTGTGGCAGTAGTAGGACTTCGAGTATACTCTAAGGTGTCGGATGAAGATCAAGAAGAGGTAATTGGCAACCTTCGAGTTGTGCGGCCAAGCTTATATCCCCAGGAGGAGGCACTTCCACAAACCTCAGAGTCGGGTGACAAGAAGTCCAAAGGTCTAGATGTGGATGACAGTGCCAAAGATGCCACACTCGAGGGAGAAATCAAACAGAGAAAGAAGAGCATACGGCCTACCAGTGAGGACCTTAGCGATGCTTCAAAGCTGTCTCGCTCTGATGCTGGTAGAAAAAGGAGGGCCATTCCTAGCGCTGATTCTCTGGGGTACACGTTCGACTTGCAAGCTTGATATACGTTTCAGGATGGACGGGCCAGGATCACAGGAAAGAAGGGTTTTTTTTTTTTTTTTTTTTTTTTTTCTTCATAAATCCGGGGGTATCCTTAAAACCTAGAACCTAACGCCACTCCACAACTTGAATACAAAACTCCTTTGCCTAGGCTACCATTGCTTTCCCAAATATACTCTTTCGATATTACCTCGGAACTCTCTGGGCGGCCCGTCAGAAGCTGCCGAGAAGATCGTCAAGTTTGCGTTTCTCTCCTGTAGCGGCAGGCTCTACAATCAATGAGTCGTCGTCTCTGAACAGGCTTGCAGATTCGGCGGACTCGGGCAAAAGGCCTACACGACCACCTACACGGGCCAGTAGGATGCGCATCTTCTCCATCTCCTTTTCAATCTCGCCATCGCGGGTGACGAGGTTCTCCTGCACACCCGCGCCGGCATCTTCGGTGCGGAAGGGGTCAAGCAGGGCCTTCATGCGCCGTAGCCGCTTAACACGGGCTTTGGCTTGCTGTCTCTGCTCGGCGAGCGCCTTCAAGCGACCAGCGAGTTCAGCATACCTTTTGACTTCCATAGGAAAGGTAGTCGCATCACGCTCGGCTGGCCATGCCAAAGGAAGCGACCTTACGGCAGTCTCTTCGGCTTTTGGTATTCTTTCATTAGTCTTTGCGCTACAAACATTGAGTTAAGAAGGTGCTGGGACAGATGTCAAAACATACACAGGTCCAAGGAGAGAGAAAGACCATCGGAGGAGTCATTTTGCGCTGCTGACAGTTGGGATAGATATAACGCGTCAATCTGCTCGGCGACGTGACGGCTCGCTTGATGAGAGTAGGCGCGTCGCGAGTGCTGCAGCAAAGTCGTGTTGAGGCGGGCGGCGACGTGCTCGGCGACGGGGTCCGGAATGGGGGACTCGGCGGCCTCGTTGGCGGCGAGCCAGGAGCGAGAGGGTTGCAGGGGTTGGGAGAGGAGACGAGCCTGGGTGGCGAGGAAGGATTGTTTTTGGGCGATGACGGTGGGAGGAGGAGGGGCTTGGGCCATCTTGAGAGGCACAGCAGAAAGAAAGAAAGAAAAGTCGGCGACAGAAAGAGGTTGACAGATTGACAGCTTGACTTGTGTGTGTGAGTATGTGTTGCGTGGAATGCGCGTTTGGCAGGAGCTTATTCGGATGCTTGGATCTCAGGTGAGATGAGACGTGGGCCGGTTGAGGACGGAGGCGCGGCCGGGGCGCGGGTGCGGGTTGCGGATGCGGGAGGACGGCAACTGCCAACGCGTCAGTCGACAAGTTGGCGGAGGGGAGTGGAGAAGGAGCGAACCAGGAAGGTGGCAGGTGGATATCCGGCCGGAAGGGTACGTACCTCAGACACCTTCCAACCTCTGTGCCTCTCTCTCGCGTTTCTTCCACTCACTCTTTCTGTCTCTCACTTTTTTCTTACAATCAGATATTCAACCACACCCAAGCAACTACCCATACGGACTCCTACTTCCTATCTCGATCGACCAGGCACTAGTGTGGAAAAATCTGATGGCGCGATGCGAAGGAGAAGGAGAAGCAGCCTCGGCGATGGGCCACTTTATGCTTCCTTTTTTCGACCAAAAATCGTTTCCCCCTCCTTGCCATGCTTGCTAAACTCCTCACTCCACGTCAAAGCTCCAATCCTCAACGCCCATCAACGGTCTAGGTCGGTCACGGTCCACCGAAAACAGGTGGACAAATGACCGGATAGAGACCCCTTGCTTGATCGTTTGCCAATCTCAAACCGCCATCTTACTGTCTAGTTGCTAGATTAATGCGGCTCAGCAGACGATGGATGGTGAACCTCGTTTCTCTGGGAGTCGGGACTATGGCTGTGTTATATCCCCCGCCTCTCAAGGATACTGGAGGTATGTGGTTTAGTCAACCTGGGCCCATTTCATGCTGACCTTTTACCAAGCCGCTCACTACCCGTCGCCTGGCTGCCTAATCCTTTATGTCTAACCTGGCCGGGAAGACGGCGGTAGTGGCATCGTTATTGGTCGTTGGAGGTACGCCGCCGCTGGCTGCGTAATGCGAGACGAGCAGCCGTCTGCAGCGCGGTTCGTTACTCGCAGACCACCCTGCAACGTTTCCAAGGCCCGGATTCCGCCTATTCGGTCCTGCGATGCATCATAGATGTGACGAACCTCGACGAGGCACAGGCACACCGCTACGGGCCGCATCAAGCCATCTCGCCTCTTCCTGACCCGGCCCCGCCCTCCGTATCGGCACTAATGCGGCCCGCCTGCATTCGATCCCGTCCGTACGGCCGCATGCCGCACAACACACGCCAACATGCACGTCAAGCCTTTTCCCACCCGCCAAGAGGCACTCAGAGATGGCCGAAGACTGCTTACGATTGCGAGAGGCTTCGCGAGGTCCAGCCTATTTCGTCCCCTTGCCTTCAATGATCTTCTCTGCCGCTGGCTGCGTTGGCTTTATCGGTAGGCTTCTTAGTTCAGGTCCCGTTAAGCCTTCCCGGACGCCACCTGTAACCTGCTTCTAGGGGGCCCCCATGCTTCGAGCCTCTGACATCTAGCCGCCGGGCACCGGGGAGGCTGGAGCAGCCCCCATCACAAGTCTAGATGTATGCTCTAGTCCTCGAGGGGTCCATTTATTCCCACCTACTCGGCCGAGGGAAATACGTTGGGTAAGTTGCAACGTCTTGAGGTGGAAGCACTCTCCAAGTCTAGCTTGTCCAGCATGTCATGGTGCCATGCACCACGTGAGACATGGCTTCGGTGCGCTGTCAAGATGGCCAATCCTACGTGCCCGGCCCCCATGATGCGCCTTTTACGGGAGATCCGGTGGTTGATACTGCCCTGCCCTACCCTGCTTGGTTTGCTGTGGACAATCGAGTGAAGCCATCGCCCCCTCTTGCTTGCTGTTTTCTCTTGGCCCCTGCTTTGACAAAGGCAGCTCCTCCCTTTATGGCCATGGCTCAAGATCCCGGGAATTGTTCAACGCCGGATTTTTCCTTTTGAACATATATGATGAGGGCCCTCCCCTTTCTTAAACCTAGCCCAGGTCCATCTGTAATTGAGCAACTCATTTCCCCCGTTCTTCAACAGACAGAAGGAAGCGAGAAAAGTGGCGGCGCTGTCTCACTTCAGCTCACCCTGATCTCGCGTGGCCTCGACCCCATCCTCTCGTCCCAAGACTCGCCTCCCATTATGTCTTCCGCTTCTCCATGCCCGAAACCTCCCGCCAACGGCTTCGTTGCCCTGGCGCGCAAGGTCTATAACCCCATCGGATTCAAGAAGGGTTACAACTTCACCCTCTTTGTCATCACCGCGGGCGGTATGATGGGGTTCACCCTCGCCCGCATGATGTACCTCAACTTCAACGGCGTCTTCTGCAACCCGGAACACCACTCACGTGCGCTCCCGGGAGAGTGCTACTATTTTCAGAAGGGCACGGCACGGATCGGTATCATCATGCATCTCGCGGGTATCATACCAGCAGGCTTTCTCGCCTGCCTGCAGTTCGTCCCTATCATCCGTCACAAGGCCATCTTATTCCATCGCCTTAATGGGTACCTCATTGTTCTCCTGAGTGTCGTGGGAATCATTGGCGTCTTTCTCATTGCGCGGCGGACGTTTGGCGGCGGCGTGAGCATGCAGACTGTTTCGGGCACCGGCAGCCTCATGTTCCTTGGCGCCCTGGCCCTTGCCATCTACAACATCAAGAAACTCCAGATCGAGCAGCACCGGGCATGGATGCTTAGAGCCTGGGTATATGTAAGATATCTCCTGTCGCCAAAAAAAAAATTCACTCTTGTGCGAGCATGTGGGCTAATGAACTTCTCTTCTCCGTTAGGCCGGCTTCATCATCACTATGCGCATCATCGGCTACCTCGCTGCCATGATCACAGCAGAATCGAATTACTATCAAGTAAAACAATGCGCCATGGTGGACTTCATCTTTCGTCACGACCAGAACAAAGTCCTCGACTTCTATCCTGGCTGCGAGGGGTACTACTCTGGGGAGAACCCCGGCCTCAGCGTCCTCGTCCATGCCAGCATCACCGCCCACCAGCCTGCTGAGATTTCAGCCGGGTTCACGTCCGTCTTTGATGCTGGATCATGGCTGGCTTTGGCGATCCACGCTATACTCGTTGAACTTTATGTTTGTTTTCCCCTCCCTCCTCCTCCTCCTGTACCCTCTCACTTTTTGTCGCGTGTTACCCGTAGCCAAGTCTGCAAGACAAAAGAACTGACGAGACGAGCAGCTTCATTTGACACCCGCAGAAGCCGAACGCCTCCGTCGCATCTCTTATCAGCGTCAGCTCGAATCCGGTATGAAGAATGCCGGGAATGCGGGCACGACTGTCCAAAGGTTGGGCGATGCTGAGCCCTGGCTACCCCCGACTCATTCACAACCGACCGAGTCTAGCATAAGACCGAGCTCAGATGAGGACATAAGGCGGAAGAGCGAAAGCGCGGCGTAGGTTGCAGTGCCGGGCTTGCACTTGATCATTGGCAGGTGGGGGGTATTTGTGATTTGAAAGTTTCCTTGAACATATCGCCTCGATTTGGCGTGTGACGATTACGAATGACACGAAAGATACGACACAGCATTAATATTGCGGCGGACATATGTGAGCATTACTATCTCTACCAAACGGACGTTTCTGCCTGGACTACGAAGCAAACTATCATGCATAGATATCATTCATTCATTCAATCTTGCATATCCTAAACATTTTCTCCCAATCCAATGCTCCCTGCTTTTACATTGTGAAACATGAGAATCTTTTACAAACCAGACCACCAGTACGTCTCGCTGACCTTGAAGCTACCCTTGAGAGCCTTGTCCGTAATGACACTGCTGTCACTGACAATGACCTCGTACTCGCCCTCCTCGGCGCACCACTGGTGGCGCTCCTCGTCAAAGTAGCTGGCGGCGTACTTGGTCTCAATGTCGACCGTGACCTTCTTGCTCTCGCCAGGCGCAAGCGACACCTTGGCGAAGCCCTTGAGCTCCTTGATGGGGCGGTTGATCTTCGCCTTTTGCTTGGGCGCGACGTACACCTGGACGACGTCGGCACCGGCCACCTTGCCCGTGTTCGTGACCGTCACGTCGACAGCGAGCTTGCCGTCTGCATCGCGGACCTTGAGGTCTCCAAAGGAGAAGGTCGTGTACGACAGGCCGTGGCCAAAGGGGAAGAGCACGGGACGGTCGAGGAACTCGTAGTAGCGGTAGCCAATGTAGACGTCCTCGCCGTACAGCGTGCGGCTGGCCTCGGCGCGGTAGTTGAGGTAGGCCGGGTTATCCTGGACGCGCTCGGGGAAACTGAGGGAGAGCTTGGCCGAGGGGTTGACGTCGCCAAAGAGCACGTCGGCGATGGCGTTGCCCGTCTCGTTGCCGCCGTACCACGCCTGGACGAGGGCCTTGACGTCCTTGGCCCACGGCATGCGCACGGGGGTGCCGGACTGGTTGACGACGACCGTGTTGGGGTTCGCCTGGGCGACGGCGGAGATGAGCTTGTTGAGGAAACCCGGCAGGTCCATGTCGGCGCGGTCGTTGCCCTCCGTCTCCCAATCGGCGTTGAGGCCGGAGCAGATGATGACCTGGTCGGCGTCCTTGGCGAGGGCGGCGGCCTTTTCAATCTCGGCCTTGTCGTCAATGACCTTGCAGCCGCCCATGCGGAGGGCGCCGCTGCCAAAGACAACGTTGTCGCCCTGCAGCTTGGACGACGGGGCCGAGCCGAACTCGACCTTGAAGGTGTACTTTTGGCCCTTCTTGAGCTCGACGCGGCCCTTTTCCTCAACGGTGGCGGCGCCGAAGAAGGCGTCGCCCTGGCGCTGCTTGGTGGTGTTGTCAATGACGAGCTTGTCGTTGACAAAGAGGTTGGCCGTGCCGCAGACGATGACACCGAGCTCGTAGGTACAGTCCTCCTCGGCGACGAAGGAGCCCTCAAAGTCGGCGTACCAGAGGTCGGACGAGAGCTTGGGGTTATAGTAGTCAACCAGGAGCAGCTCCGTCTTGGTGAGGACGAGCTCGTCGATGGCCTCGCGGCTGTGGTCCGTAGGAGGTTCGTTATAAACGCGCATGGTCATGCCGGCCTTGCCGTCGGCTGATGTGCAGACGTTACCGAGGAGGGGCAGGAGCTTGTGAGAGTAGGCACCCTCTGTGTACTCTGGGGGCGAGGTGAGCTTCTTGCTGATGCCGTCGAAGGGGGTGACGGAGTAGTAGGCGGCCAGGGAGGCGGAACCACCTCCTTGATAGGTGGCGATCTTGGCGTTGGGGCCCATGACAACTGTCTGTAAGTCTCAAAGTTAGCGTGTGCTTTCGCGGGAGGCCTGTATACTCGGGGCATGCTCGCCTTCTTGTCCTTCTTCAGGGGGAGCACGTTGTCATCGTTCTTGAGCAGGACAATACTCTCGCCACCAATGCGCCTCAGCAACTCGGCGGTCTCTGGAGTGTCACCCGTCTTCTCAGGGGCACCCTCGGGGATGCCGGTAGCCACAGCCTTCTTAACGAACTTGAGCATAGCGCGAGCTCTCTCATCGAGAACGTGCTGGCGGACCTTATCCGTCGACACGTTGAACTTGAGAGGCTCTCCGCGGAAGCGAGGGGGGCCAGGCATCTCGAGATCGAGACCGGCGTTGACCGCTTCCGTGGTGCTGTAGGTTCCGTACCAATCGCTCATGATCATGCCGTCCCAGCCCCACTCCTGGCGGACCAGCTTCTCCAGCAGATCATGGTTCTCACTGCAGGATGTGCCGTTGACGCCGTTGTAGGCTGTCATGAGGGCACCCGGTGAGGCGTCACGGAAGGTCAGCTGGAAAGGAAGCGCGTAGATCTCACGCAGGGCGCGCTCCGTCACGATGCTCTGGACGGCGTTGCGCCTGTGCTCCTGGTCGTTGCACACAAAATGCTTAGGCGTCGCCTGGATGCCAGTGCTCTCGATTCCTTTCACAATGGCAGCAGAGCCAAGACCAGCCAATACCGGGTCTTCACCGATGGACTCGAATCCTCTGCCACCGAGAGGGGAGCGTTGCATGTTGATGGTAGGGCCCAGGATGCAGTGGGCTCCCTTGAGATTGGCCTCCTCACCCATCTTCCTGCCGGCCTCCTCTAGGAGCTCGGTGTTGAAGGTGGCACCGAGAGCCGTTCCGCAAGGGAAGCAGGCTGCCTTGATACCATTGAAAAATTTGGTACCGCGTACGCCATTGGGTCCGTCGGAGAGTCTGATTGAGGGGATGTTGTGCTTGGGTAGAGCCTTGGTGTGCCAGAAGTCGATACCTGGGGAAAACCGAATGTCAGCTTGCCATTGGATCCCATTGAGACTTGTGGTGAAGATTCCGCAATAAGAGTAAAGAATGAACCCAAAAGTGAGGCGGGAGCAGTCTTACCGGCGAGAAGGTCAACCTTCTCGGAGACGGTGAGCTTCTTGAGCACGTCTTCGACGTCAAAGTCGGCCATTGTGAGCTCAAGAAGCGTTGATCAGTGAGAATGGATTGGGGTATCTTATGAAGCGACTTCAATTCTACGAGAGGCCAGGTTCAAACTTGGACAGGCAGTAAAGAGGAACAGACAAGAAAAGGTGAGGATAGAAGGCGCCGAGAATCAAGATCGAGAGGAGAGAGAACTGGATCATCTTCGCTGCAGGGTTACGCTGTTAAATAGAAGAGTGACGAGCTTGTGGACAACGGGGCAACTCCGGACGATGCGGGACTGGATTTCCTCTTCTCACTTGGCTTTCAAGGTGCATTAGCTCGGGAAGAGAGGCCAGCAACCCACTTTGAGGTCCCGCGTATTTCTGCGTGACGAGCTAGGTAGATGGAGGAAGATAGACCGATGCCGGGAAGACGGCGGGGGAAACGACAGGCAATCAGGAGGCCATGTTTGCATGCAGCATCCGTTAGCAACTCGGCAGCGGCTGCTTCTCTTTCCCGTCATGTTGTCCTGCCCCTCCACGCAATTCAGCCGGGGAGCAGATATGTGGAGAGCTGTTTCTTTCCAATTACCAATACAAATGAATGGCAGACAACGAAGGAAGGAGTGCCCAGAGTTGTCAGGAACCCGAGACCTTGAAAGACGCGGTCAGGTGCGTCAATGGCGACCGCTCTTGCCCCTTATTCACCGGGAGAAGCTCGGGTGGCTCTCCCCTCTAGCGTCATTTCTCCATTTTGGTGTCCACCTATCGGCTCCGGATTGGCTCATTGACCTTGGAGGCGAAGCTGAACATCGTCCCGAAATCCCGTCAGACAACTTTGGCGCGGAGACGGCGTCCGGATGTCTCAGTTTTCGCCGGAGACGAACCGGTCTTTTGGCGATGTTCCCACGGGGTTCTGCCGCTATCCTGGACAGTGCAAACATCGTCTCGCGGACAGTGACAACTTCTCATGATACGATACCGATACTCCCCAGGCCGCAAATATGGCACAACCAGGCAAACACAAGCTCACAAAGCCTCATTCGTAGGTTTCATGTTAGTGCCACAGTCCTGTCATCGGGTGACTGGGCATTTGCTTGTGAGATGGACGCTGATGATCGTGGTACCCAGGGCACACTGGGAGGATGATGTCCGCCGTCTTTATAGCAATGGAGACTGATCTAGATGGACTGCCTTCATTCCGACTAGCGACAGAAGACTCTTGGAGTTGCACATCTTTGGAGAGGGGGTTCATATGTCATCTCCTTGCCGTCATCGTCTCCGAGCTGTTGTGTTCCGGCGCGTGACAGCCGAGCTAGGGGAAAACACGGCATCGCTGAACCGGCAGTATGCCCCGCATCTGCCCTATTTCGACGAGAATACGGCCCGGGCGTCTGTGCTGCATCGTCGGGATGGGAATCCATAACCTCTCTGCCCCGGAGAGCCGGTCCACGAAATCGTGCCGTGGTCGAGCGGTCATACCAACGGGCCGATTTACCACATCCGACCAAGCTGCTACGGCGCCACGGCCCTGCGTTGATGATCATCAAGCGGATGATCATTTCCCCAGCTTCCCCAGATGTTTGTCTTCATCGGCTAGCTCCGCTGTATCTCCATACTGCAATGCCGAATCTTTCCCGAGTATCCATCATCTCCATCTCGGTGAGCGGCTGTAAACTGGGCATAACATGAAAATGGCTAGCCGAAAAACAGGATCCAACGACCGTCCGCCTCACTACTGGGTCTGCCAAGTGGGCGACAGAATGATCTGCCGTTCAGCACATCCTGAGTTTCTGTTTCTACCCCTACCTTTACAACTACCTCCATCACCTTTCCTGTCATTACTCTTCTTAGCTGGTTCTTTCAGTCCATTGTCTAAATGATGTACCTAAAATTGACAAAACATTGAGAAGGATAGGGGTTGTTTTGTCACCCACCTAGGGGCCTCTCTTGCCGAGACAGCAGCGTGAGGCCATGCAGTCACCCGCTCATCCGGCTTGGTTCCCGAGGCGGGGTGGTCCGAATACACCACAAATTCGCGTCTGACACCTCCACACGATGGCTGATTCGTTCTATGTAGATGTCCATGTCCACAATCATGTTCCTGAACAAGATCCACCTCGGCAGGCGGGACTCGGGAGTGGGAACGGACCACATGCTCGCGAGATGGAATGGGGTCTCTCGGCAGCTGTGACATCTTGCCTGTTGCTCATTTGTCGAGACCCGGGCATGGAGTGTACGGATACTATTCCCATATTCACTCCCCCTGTGTGGATGATTGACTCGCTTGTACCCGTAAGGCGGGGGATGGAGATCTTTCTCTTTGCCGCTGTACGGAGTACGGGTTTACGGATATAGGCCGGACCACCACACATTGCGTGAAAAGAATGTCCCGATACTTGAGACAACCATCACAACTCATATCCTTCCATCGATCTCTCCCTGCTTCCGTGATGGTTCCTGATGATCACTATTGGTTCTGAGGCACACTTCCCGCGACGCCGGGACACATGTGTGAGGGCGATCCATGCAGGTTTATATACTACACATATACCTTAGGTCATGTGACAGCCCAGCTGCGGTTCCTGCTTGTAGCTGGCGAGATCTCGAAGAGACTTGGGCGGTACCGACAGTCTGGATGTTAGCCTGGGTTCCCGACAGGGACCTCCATCTGACCTTTCTACCAAGCAAGTGGGCCGGCCGGTGTAGCGACTGGTTAATGTATGTCTTTGCCTTTCACGATCGACAACAACCAACTCAGAAGCTGCAGTCGTTCTGCTCGTTGTTCCTGAGATGAAGTAGGCCCTGATGTGTGCCGACTTAACACGAGGCAGCCTCGTCACGCAACGACCGCTCTGCTCCCGCTCAGAAATCAGCCAAGGCCATGACCGCGGCCTCCAGGAGAACAATGGCAACGACTCGTTTGCGCATAGCCCTTCCTGTTTAGTTGTGAAGCGACGAAATATGGCATTGAATGCCACTTGTTTAGCAATCTCAACGACCACGGCAATATGCCTCTGTTCTGCACAGCGGTCTTTGGAGAGGAAACGATTCATCTCAACGAGATAGAGCTTTGTGCCAGCAGTTAAGAATCTGCTGTGACGTTCGAATGACCTTCATCTAGACCTTTATCGCTAAGACAGGACCGCCGTTTGACCACTACGAGCAGTCTGTCTCGTTAGGACATCCAAATTCATGGGCACTGCAAGGCTTTCTGTTGTGGTGGTTCCCTTGAGATGATGATATGGAACTCGCCTCTAGAGACGAATTACGCCTCTTGAAGTGCTGGAGACAACCATCTCGGAGCTTCTAGCTACCCCTCATGTGATACTGCCGTGAGGTGACGATGACCATGCGGACGACGGGTATGCCCTACCAGCCACGGATCACTTCATGCATCACTTCTTGCGAAGCCCCCCCTCAGGGAGTTGGAGGCAGTCAGCTGAATCCCATGCCGCCTCTCTCCTCTAAGTTGCGTTAGTTGGGGCTGGCTGCCTCGCCTGATCTTCGTCTCTGGAAGGTCACGATACAACACAGGGGTTTCGAAAGGGGGTACATTCAATCAACCCCATGCTCGATTAACATTGTCTTGCTTGGACGCGATGCGCCACCAATTTGATAGACCACCTTCACTGCAAGCCACAAGTTCCCAGAGATACTTTCACGCAGTCTTCAATATCCTTTGCCGATGGTTCAAGAAAAGGGGGCTCAGGTGCGGTGTGCCAGCCAGGAAGAGGGACTACAAGACGCAAGACTGCTTGACGCGCACCGTTCGCTCTCTATCTACTTTCTTGGACACAGTCGACTTGGTTGACCGTAAGGCTTTACATCCTTCAAGACTCATCGACGATGCTTCAAGAGGGGGGATGTATGGGACTCTGACGGCGCACATAATTGAATCGCGACATTATCATGCACTTCCCCCCTTCTCACGTCGTTTCCTCTCACTTCTACAGCAAGACACAAGACCCCGCAAATAGAGAAACGCGTCATGGCCTGCGATTCCAGCTCCAGATCATGATGAGGCTGGGATCGATCACGATGTCTGTAGCCCCGGTCTGTCACAGGGGAACATCTACAGACTACAGACGGACAGCCCCCATAGCCTCATCATACGAGTTTGCTCTTTGTTAAACATCATCACTAGCCCAGGTATACCAAGAAACAGGTTTGCAGCCTTTCGCACTCCCGCGCGCCCCCCGTCGTCCAGCCCCCCGGAAACGATACCATCATCCCTCCACCCCGGGGCACCGTTGGGAATCGGAGGACAAGTCCGATTCGGATATCGTAATTTTAGGGGCATCCAAGGGAAAAGATAGGAAATCGGGCGCTCCGACAAGGGGTGTCTACAGACTACCTAGGTATTCCGCTGTACTACTAATACGCCCAGCGGAAGGAATGAGAAAACCGCAACGGCGCCCCATCTCCAACACGAACGCCATCCTGCTTCACTAGGTAGGTACTGTGCTAATATTCCGGCCACAACATTGCCCATTCGGCATAGAGCCGTTTAGTCCAGCTAGTACCGGATTTCCACTCCTCTATTAAGAAACAATGGCTTGCAAATGGCGCCAGCTCCGTCAAAGGATGGCCGGGGGTTGAATGGGAAGGGGGGCGGGGACGGGACCTTTCGTCGATGTTGCGAATGGGAATGGTGGCACCCCGGGCAGATGACCGAAGTGGACGAGGCACGAAGCCGGAAGGAGAGAATGCCGAGGGGCGGTGACTTGTTTTCCCCCGGTGTCTGCAACTGCAAGCCCGCTCACGCTTACATTCCAAGTATCATGTATTCGTATGCTCTCTCATGAAGGAGGGAGGGGGCAGGGGGGGACTAGCGAGTGCGGAACCGCAAGCCGGGAAAGTGATACGCAAAAAGAGACGTGAAATGGTAAAAACGGTAAACCCCATTGACCAATTAGTTGGAAGCGATTGCATATGTTTTTTTTTTCCCGCTTTCTCAGTCTCAAATCCCTAGTCTCCCACACACACACTCACGTACGCGTACGCATACGCATACCGCATACACACATGCGCAATATGCCACATGCAGGGCATTCATGGGCAAAATTACGGATAGAAGGCCAATGTACCGATACCTTACCATGGCTTTCCGAAGTTTGTGCTTTGTTGCTTTTTCCCTTCCATTCTGAAAGTCTTCTAGAAGGGTGTGTAGAAGCCAGACTAGGCCAGATAGAGTAAAGCCCGTCTTACAAGTTGCAGGACGCCATCTCGATCCAAAAACCCACCCGGCCGAGTTCTATGGTTCTCTAATGGGAGGCCGCAGAGTACCTAGCCGAGAAGCAGAGTACCGGCGCATCACTAGCCGTTTGCCGTATATCCACTCCCCGTACGGATACATCTCATCGCCATCGGGGACGCGGGCGACGGCCGGGCGTTGCGACGCTTGTGGGTACCGGTAGCCAAGCATACACCAAGGTAGGTACATCTTTCCCTTTTCCCCTTTGTTGTGACACACGGGTATTGCCTTGCCTTGGGTTGGGACTTGTCTTTGACTTCCCGGGTGGAGGGGTAAAGGGGGACAACTTTTGGTAAGTTTGGTTTTGCGAAAGACGAACAGACCCCGAACTTGGAGCGACGGCGTAAAAGTGTAAATTCCTTCTTCGCCTTCTTCGAAGCTTCCAAAATGCTTCCATGGGTGCTTCGACAGCCACCCACATCACACAACACGGTCTCATTTTTTCTTCTGTCTCTTCTTCGGATGCACAAGAATGGAAACACGACGCCACGTCGCATAGAATGCCCGCAACAGCAGTTCCAAGCGCCACGGAGGGAAACTTAGGGTTGCCACGTTTCCCTCCCATCTCTGCACACCATCTCCGTGGCGTCGGATGGGTTGTGCAGCACCAAGCGCATGGCAGAGATGCCATGGCGGAAGGTAACTTTGATGACGATGATGGTGCGTGGTGATGGCGTTGGATGGCGGCGGCGGCGGCGGCGGCGGCGGGATGGGTGTTGGTTGTACATAGCAGCTGAGTGTCTCTAGCCGAGTACCCTACACTTTTAGTACTTGCAGCGTGACAGTAACTTACGCCGGTTCATGAATCAAGCAGAGACCTTCTTCGTCTCGCCTTTCCAGAACACCTCTTTTGCTGAACTTTGGAAGCGGTGTACGACGTGCGTCGTGCGGCTTGCGGCTTGCCATGTGCATGAGGTAGCACTGACCACGACCACGATGAGAGTCCTCGCAGCGATCAACGTTGCCTGCCCGAAGAAACGAGCCGCCAAAACACGAACCAAACTTAAGCAACTTAGCATGTACGCGGAAGGGGGGAAGGGGTCTATAACGGCTCGTTAGATACCCTCCTTGTTCATTTTGCCAGTATTAGCCTTCTGCACGAAAGCAGGCGAGGCGTGCGAAGGGTCGAGATCATAACGCGTGGCAGCGTGGTAGGGCTCCAGATACGCTTTTCCTCATGACATGAGACGTGCATTGCAGCCACGTGTCGCGGGCGGCGCTATCTGTCAAAAAATAAAAAAGGCGTACTTTTGAGGCCATCACACGAACCCGAGCCGCCTGTCTCAGATGTTTCCATGCATCAGATTCTGCACGGGGCTGACTCGCAGGGAGGGGCATTCGACCTCTCTCGTGCCTTTTTGCATCGCTATGTGTGTGAGTGAGCGTGTGTGTATACCGCAAGATGTGTGAGTGGTGTTGCGCGCATGAACCAAGCAGTCGAATACTGGCGCACACCCCGATGCCATCCAAGAACCTTCGGTGATATCTTGGGCTCGTAGAACTGGCCACGGCGGATAGAAGGAATTGTGTCGCAGTACGGGTACCAGTCTCATGATTCCGTCGTCGTACCCCAACGCAGCATCAACGACGCTGGCACGTACTAATGTAAAGTGAGTGTAATCGGGCATCAAAGCGCTTCGCGTAGTGCTGCAAAACAGCCATCACACCTTGCCTGTTGTTAAGGCAGCACGTGGACTGCAGCGGAGCCTCCAAACCGCATGAAGTTGACCATGGGTTGTCCCCCTCAGGCTTCAGCCGTGGGCCCGTGTTGGGACGGACAGCGGTCGAGAAGGGACTTCTGTAGACTGAGATTGCGCTCTGACCAGCGAGAGTACTGAGCAGATGATGGTCTTGTGAAGCACCGGAGAAACGAACAAGGGGGAGGAGTATGGCGTCTCACGGGCTGCTTGCGAGATTGAGAGTGAGACATGACCGCTGCGGTCGTCGTTGATGATTTCGATTGGCAGATGGCGCTTTGGTCAAGCTTCCACAAGGGGTCCAATTCGATTCGGGGCCGAGGACCGTGTGGCTAGGACGGGCAAGTCTCGGGGGCTTTCTCTACGCAGTATCTGTATGCGATTGATTTTCCTTCTGGGGGTGAGTGATTGTGGTGGTGATGGTGGTGACAGGGGCGGACTTGTCGGGCACAGAGAATGGGTGGTTGGCCGCCCCCATGAATCCATAGTAAGGTAGTAGAACCATCGAACAAAGCCCGAGGTGGCGCTAGGATGGAGGGAAGAAAGTCGGGCGAACGGTCTGGAGTGAAGGAAGGTGAGTGTAAGATACGGTACGGAATACCTCAAGGTGAAGAAAGGTGAGGTGAAGGGGCGGGGCAGGGCAAGGGGAAGCGCAGCAAGGTGAGCACCTCACCTTCCCAAAGCATGTACGGATAGGTACGTATTCGTACGAATATCTCAGGCGCGGTCCCCTGGGAGCGCGACGATGGGGAGGAAGGAAAGCGATGGAGGGGGTCGGGCAAGGAGTGGGGGGGAAAGCGGGCTTGGATAGTTGACGCTAAAACGGTCCGTATTAGGTAAAGCTGGTCTAGGTAAGGCAACCACGATGTATCCGTAGGGTATCGTGCCTGCCTAGTAGCTAAGGCAGGCAAGGTCCGGCAGAGAAAAGGGCACGAAGTTACGAACAATTGAGCGTTGGTAGGCTGTAGCACGTGTTGACGGTGCCTAGGTAGGGATCAGGCGAGGCGGCCGACAAGAGATCAAACGGTGATAGGACGAGGCGCTCCGACGAAACGTTCCCCGTTCACGCCCACGTCCCACGCCCACGCCGCCCGCCGTCCGTCCACACGGCCGCAGCAGTGTTAGCACCGTGACCGTGACCGTGACCGTGACCGTGACCACGGCCAGGGTCGGAGGGAAAACAGATCCCGAGCACGACCGATGGGAGGTTGCGATTGGCCTTGGCGTATGTCGTTTGGGCCCTTGGAGCCGCTGCTGAGTGGGATGTATAGTGCTCAACGATGCAGTATCCAAGGGACTACCTTTAGTTACCGTGGCATAGAGTAATAGAAAGGTTGATGCTTTGACGTTTGCTCCTTTTTTTTCTTCTTTCTTTATTTAAACTTTAAGCAGAGCTGTACTCCGTAGTGATGGTGTAATTGGGACGGATGCCAAGACCAGTCAACCTCCCTCCCCCGGGTGGGCTGGGCTGGGCTGGGGGCTTGCTAAAGAACGGATGCGTAACCGGAGTAGTGCAGAAGACGGGACGGGAAAGGCGGGAGAATCGCAGCGAGGAATGACCCGGGTTCGCATCAGGTGGAAGGAGAAGCTTCCGTCCCTGGAAACTCGGGAGTCGCAGTGAAAGCTAAGCTAACTGGCCAAGTGGTAGCACAAGAGTGAGTTGACATGAGGTAATGTGAGCTGATTTGGGACCTCACGCGCAGGGAGCATCCAGGCCGGAAGATTACTGAAGAAGACGGAGAAATGAAGAACATGTCCCAGGGTAACGGGCAGGCAAAGGAACGGGAGCAAGGCAGTGCTGGTAAACCATAAAGAGGCAAGGCGGGGGTGGTTGAAGAAAGGCAATGCAGGACAGGCATGACCGTGGATGGGAATCTGTAGGGCAGGGCGTAGCGCATTTGCGGGCGAGGATGGCAGCAACATCCGTCTTCTTGTCCGATACATCAAACCAAACCGCATTGGATAACACCAAGTAATCAATTAATATAGCAAGAGCACTTGGGGAGATCACGAAGTGAATACCACACTTGATCATGGGGGATACTGCGTTACGTTAGTATGATAGACACTGCAGATTGGCAACCGGAAGGTGACCGGGCAGGCAGAGGAGAAGATGGCAAGGGGGAGCTGGAGCCGGCTTCTTCCCAGCTCCGTCCAGATGGGAAACTGGGGAGAGCCGGGTTTGAACGGAACATGTGGGCTCGAGTCGGACCTTCCCATGCCTGCCAAGTAGTGTACGAAGTACGGATAGGTAATGGACGTTTGGAAGCCTCAACTTTTCACGGAATAGAGGCAAGTATCAATGTGCGTCTCTGCGGTGTCCCTTACGAATTACCTCCTCCCTGGTCTGGATCACGACGATGAGATGAGCAGCATATTAGCGGGAGCGATCCGGTGACTGACCATGGCTGGGCAGGTAACATGTGTCGTATACTCCGTACTTCGTACCTATACCCAGGTCCCCCAGTTTGTTTGCTTTGCGAGAATGAGATGGCGGCATGGCTTCTCCTCTTTGACACACAGACAAATTGCAAAGATTAAGAAGGTATCCGTACTGCGGCCAGGGCATTTGGGATGGATACGGGAGATTCATCACCCCACTTGCACGACGGTGGGAAGGTGAGATGGTGGGCATTTACTTTTCTGGGAATCTCATGTTTGGTAATGAGAGATGAGCTACTTTGAAAGAGTGGTACCTTGTACCGGGGTCAGTTTGACGAATCGATGTTGGAGAAGCAGGCCGCATGTCGAAACGTGAGGCTAGACGACGGTATCACAAGGCAAATAGGAGGGCAGGCCAAAGAGGTGCTCGCATCACTGTCTGATAGACTTGAAAAGACGCAGAGAAAATAGCGCACTCTGGCTGTGTTTGAGACCGGGGTAAAGCGTAAATGTATCGAACAGCAGTAACAGCAATGGGCACGGTTCCAGATTACGAAAACGCACTGCACATCAGCAGCACTGAGCAGCTGTAAGTCCAGGAAGTCTGCAGTACAGGGTTCCGTAGATAGATTAATGGTGGACGTTGATGCCACTTCCCTGCACTCCATATCTGGGCATTTCAGAAAGAGGCTCTCCAATGAGAGTAATGGCGCAGTCCACTTTGTAGGCCATGCCATGCCAAGGAGGCCCAATCAAGACGGAATGCACTTGCATTTGCATCAGCAATGTCATTTCCCGCAAGTACATACAGATACAGGCTCTAGATTATACTGTGGTAGAGTGAGTATCCGTATGTACTTAGTCACTTACTCATCTACGATGTGATGCTGCGCTGCGGGGTGAAGTCAGTCAGTCAGTCAGTCGTTCAGCTTGAACAGACAGCCCAGGCCTGGCTACGGCATATTGCAAAACTGCTCAACGAATACTTGGCTGCATGAGTGTCTGCAGGCGCATTGTGCATTTCTGTCGTCTTTACGGAGTACACGGCTGAGAGAGCTGACTGGATAGGTATTGCAAGCACCTGGCTCAGAATTGAGCGTGTCTCGTGAAAACGCAAAGTCCATCAAACCCTCAACCCTCAACCCTCCTCTTTTCCCTTAGCGTGAGGTGAGGTACCTTACCTCATTGCCATGGATGATGGATGATGGAGCGCGGTGAGTGGGTCACTCCGGCTTTCGCCTGGCACCAGCAATCAGGTCTCAATGACCCCACTTTCGAGACAAGTACCCTCGAGCTGTGAAGTACTTCCAAGTCGGTTTGTACACCTCGAGAAAAGATACTTGGTCCCACTCGACCTCGCTAGAACCACACCTACCTCGTCAATGCAGCCCAATAAGGACTGACGTGAAGACTGGGCGGGCTGACAGAAACCGTCAGCCAAGACCCTGCCTTGCCTGATCCCTGTCAGCATGTGGTGATCGACCGTGCAGGGACTTTGGAACAGGGAAGATCCCTCTTCTTTCCCTTTTCGAAGCTCTCCCAGAAAACGGCAGGATACCCACAAGATGGGGTTTCCACTTTCCAATGTCTTTCCTTGGACCCCTGTCGGTTTGCCCGCTCGTGTGCCCCTCCCCCCTCCGCGTTCC